GTGTGATATGCTGGCCGCATATTGATAGTTCTGCTAAAAATTAGACAGTTCTCTTCTAGTTCTGGGCGAGTACATTGCTTTTCCAAAAAGTTCTGACGACTAAAATAATTAGAAAATTTTTTAAACAATTATTTTACCCGAAAAACACGCATTTTTGAGTATATGTGTGATATGCTGGCCGTATATTGATAGTTCTGTTGATAATTAAAGAGTTTTCGTGCAGTTCTGGGCCAGTACATTGCTTTTCCAAAAAGTTCTGACGACTAAAATAATTAGAAAATTTTTTAAACAATTATTAATTATTAACAGAACTATCAATATACGGCCAGCATATCACACATATACTCAAAAATGCGTGTTTTTCGGGTAAAATAATTGTTTAAAAATTTTCTAATTATTTTAGTCGTCAGAACTTTTTGGAAAAGCAATGTACTCGCCCAGAACTAGAAGAGAACTGTCTAATTTTTAGCAGAACTATCAATATGCGGCCAGCATATCACATATATGTACAAAAATGCGTGTTTTTCGGGTAAAATAATTGTGAAAAAATTTTCTAATTATTTTAGTCGTCAGAACTCTTTGGAAAAGCAATGTACTGGCTCAGAACTACACGAAAACTCTTTAATTATCAACAGAACTATCAATATACGGCCAGCATATCACATATATGTTCAGTGTCCTCTATTTTTTATCTGCTAACTTTCCGTAGCAGATCATTTTTTTCGATCGGTGTTTTTTTTTATAAAATCACCAGAACTATCATTAAAAACGATCAGGAACTATAGAACTCGACTGCATGCGACAAGAACTCTCTCTTATTTTTGATCTGCTAGAAAATGATCTGCTACGGGAAGTTAGCAGATCATTTTTTCGATTGGTGTTTTTTTGGATAAAATCACCAGAACTATTACTAAAAACTATAAGGAACTATAGAACTCGACTGCATGCGACAAGAACTCTCTTTTATTTTTGATCTGCTGGAAAATGATATGCTAGGTTCACGAACATCATTATTCGTACGTTGAAGAAGTTGACAACCAGTTAACGAGCTGCTGCCCCTTTTGTTTCACTTAACCCATTTTCCCCATCGAATTTCAAATTCTTCCCTTTCTTTCCGTGCCCGCGCGGACCTCGAATATTTTTCAGCATTTTAATTAAAGAGTTCGCTGTTATATACGACGGTGAATTTTACCAATATTTTCTGCAACGCACGTTAATCAAAATTTTCCAGTCGATGTTAAAGTGATTTTTCAATTTTTAATGCCCTGCTGAAAGCTGGAAATCTACATCTGCGAGAGATTTACATCAGCAGAAATATAGCGCGAGAGCTGTTTGACGTGTCCTTTCGAGCGATGAAGTGCCTCGTATAATCAGCGCAACTACATAGCAGGACACGCAATGCATTTTATTGGCTGAAATATGATATGCTTATGCAATTATATGCAGATTCGTGCGCGAACTGACCTTAATGCCGATTTCGTTCCGTGCGTTTAACGAGGGGTCCGCTCCGGATGCCATCCGTCTCTCGAGATAAAGTTGGCGAAATCGTGCTATTCGTCTTCTCGACGAAAAACGAAACCGTAAAGCGAGCCGAAAGTTCCAGCGCGAGAAACGCGAGAAACTTTGGTTGTCACAACTCCGTTAGAAATAGCGAAACCGGAAACGCCAGAGGCGGTCCTTTTTCATTTCGAACGCGGAACGAGGGGATGTCGACGGTGCTGATTAGTCACTAATCTCATGTATGTGTATTTTTGCAGCTCCACGGCTGGATTTGGAGAGCCTCGAGAGCGGATATCACGGTCTGGTCAAGGAGAATGAAACTCTGGTCGAGGTCACGCCGCAGATTCGCGCCCTGGGAACGAAGGTCTGCTCTTTCCGCATCGCGAACAAGCATCACGGCGAGGCGCCGTTCGAGATCGTCCTGAAGGAGAAAGGCATGGCCGAGTTGCGAGCGTTCCGGGTCCTGAATTGCGAGAAGCGCCGTAATTACAAGTTCGATATCGCCGCAGTCGGCTGCAACGGAGCGCAATCCGAAAAGTGAGTTCTGCGTATACATGGGTGCGTGTGTGTGTGTGTGTGTGTGTGAAGGATCAACATTACTCAACATTCATTCTGAAGCAGTTGCGTGAATTTTTATACGGCGCGAATAGCGCGCGAATGTAAAACGCGTTTATTCAAGGAAACTCTGTGAAATAAAGTAAACTTAACGAAAGTAGAGCGGCATGAACGGTATGGTGCAGTTATACCTGAGTTTATAATCGCTAGAGTCGGCTCGGTTTAGCACGCAACTGCTTCGGCGCTGAAAGAAGTTCTCTCTATCGTGTGATGCCCCCGGCACTCAGATAAGCTAACTAGAAATTTACACTTCTACCTCGGATCTTCTCTTCATACAAGGCAGTTATCTTTTTTTTTTTTGCTGTGCACACTCAGATAAGTGGAAGGAAACTTCCATTAAAAGGTATTCAGAGATAAGAGAGATTATAAGATGATACATAGATATAATTATTAAGATATAGTTCACTTTTTCTAAATTCTGAACATATAACATGCTGAATTCCTGCATTCTTAATGATGACACATGATGTATTAATGTTAAAAGAAAAATTCCACGAAATCCATTCATGATTGTATTATACAAGGAAATGCATAACAATATCATCCCATTATATTTCAAACTAAAGAGGTTAAATATTTTATATCAATTTCTGCATTTCTGTTATGTTTATAATTTAAATTGCATATACGTTTAATGATATAAACACAAATTTTGTACATCATTATACATGTTATTATTAGACATTATTGTCACATTATATCGCTGCACGTTAATCTTTGATGTTTAACAAGTTGGAACGAGGCGTACTCCATAAATCGCACTGTATCGAAAACGTATCATCTTACCCCGTGTTTATCTGCAGTTAAAGTCATAATAAGTCATCTTGCGAATGTGGGTCATCGGATCGCGCGTCGCGTCTTATACAATGCCAATTTTTCTAGCTCACGTTGGCGCACCGTGTACGCCTCGCTAAATGTATCGACTAAATGAGGAAATAACTCCCGACTCTTTGAGTGCACGAATTTTCTCATTACGGGGTTGTGCGATTTTACGCCCGCTTGAAGCGATAACTGCCGTCTATTCCCTCGCGTCCGCTTTCGCGTTCACTCTCGATCTCTCGCCTCGACAAATATTACACATGTCTCTTGAAATAAAACATTACTGCATTCGCGATCGTAACATGCGATGAAATACGAGCAAAGCGAAAGGTGGAAATTATGACGTATAGAGAGGTAGAAATATGAAACATGGTTGAAACAGGTGATTTTGATTTTTGTTACACAGACAATTGCAAAAATTTGCAATTGTAATTGGACTTGTAATTTGTATTTGTATTACATATAAAAATCATGTTATAAATTCAAAAGTTAATTATAACCAATGAAATTAAATCTGTAATTTCACTTGGCAAAAACAGGTTGTTTGGTAATAATTTATTTAGCAGGTATAATAAATGTTGCGGCGTTTCGGCACAATTAGAGTAAACAGAAAGTCAATTTCACAAAGGTAATTTACTGTGAAGAGCTAGTGCCGCGACTAGTCCGCCTCGTTCCCAACCGTCTCGGAATCTCTCTCTCACCTCGCCGAATCGCCGCCAACGAATGGCAGATCAATAGTGAAACATCTCGTGTGTATATATGTGCACAATGCACGATGCTTTTATATAAAAGATTTCGCGGTGAATTTTTCATGTGTCGGAAATGACGCGTCTCTGAACGAAATTTTACTTCGGCGGCGGTTATGGAAATTACACGATATCGATCGGCCGGTCCATCGCGTGGTCGAAATCGTTATCCGCGCCGATAATGCATGTCGTAATTTCTAATTAGGATATATCCACGTATCCACCCATCCGACGTATTATTATGACATTAATAAGGAAGAGTTAAGCGAGGTCGCTATCGTGCGCGACACGTTATCCGATTATATATTGTTCCGTTTAGAGGCAGAAATTTTCGTCGCATTGATTCCGCCGCGTCTAAAATTTCAAACGCGAATAGATTCCGAATGTAACTCGAACACGGTCGCACTATTTGAGCACGTGTTTTCGGCAATGAAACAATTTTGAGTCTCGAAATTCAATCCTTTCGCTCCGTACGTACCGGTCTCTGCGGTATCGCTTTATTGACTTTTCCGTTATACGCCACATATTAAATTTCCGATACCGCTCCAAAGCCGACACTGTCATATAAATGTTTTATATTAAGTATATCGACAGCGTTTGCTCGGCTGTAATTCTTTTAAATCTCTCCCCGACGGGCATATGGAATAAATGCATTTTACTGTTAGATCAACCATTGAAACACATGGTTTCCTGCGTGGGCATCGCGCCGCTTTGTAGTGTATAGAGTTTCATTGATTCGAGAAATCATTACGTTGAAATCTATTACAAAGATGATGTAAAATGATTTTTCGAATTAATGAAGCGTATATGTATAGCGAAACAGTTTATAGTATTTGAAAATTTAATTCGAAAATCATTAAAATAGTTTTTATAATAAACTGTTTCAAATTTTTTATAGATTCGTGGAATTGTAGCGTGAATTTTCAGTTGTAATTTTATATCCTGAAATTATGCTTTTAAATAAATAAAATCTGATCATTATAGGATGATGCGTTTGTACTGTAAAGTTTCAATTTTAATTCAACGCAGAGTTTGTTCGAAAATTATATAGCTTTGCAGATTTTTAAAAATAAACGTGCAATGAGGCAAAAATAAAAATAAAACTTTATAAACGGAGAGAAGCACGTAGGAATTTGAAGGATCTAGCGCTCTAGGCTTTGTCACGCAGCATGCACGTTACTGCGACGCATTGCTATCTCCGTAAGAAAGGACAGAAAGAGATCTATACATATGCACGTTTCGATTTCATTTCCAGTGCCACGGTTCATATTACGGTGGTTGACGTCAACGAGTACGCGCCGCAATTCCTGCAGCCGGCCTACGTCAGCACCGTGGACGAGGGACGCCTCTACGAGGAAGTGGTCCGCGTCGAGGCGTCCGATCGGGACTGCACGCCGAAGTTTGGCGACGTTTGCAAGTACGAGATCCTCACTGCCGATCAGCCGTTTATCATCGATAACGAGGGCGCGATTCGCAACACCGAGCCCCTCGACTACGAGCGCTCGCATAACTACATTCTCAGCGTGGTCGCTTATGACTGCGGCATGAAGCAGTCGGCGCCGGCAATGGTGACGGTCAAGGTGAATCGCGTATGCGCTCCCGGATGGCGGGGTATCCCCGAGAGAGTCGACTACGCCGCCGGAGTAGGCTCGCAGCCTCTGCTACCGTCGGCGCGGCTCGATCTCTGCGACGCCCCCTGCATTCTGCGCAACGTACGCGCCACCTTAACTTTGGCCACTGATCACATCGGCAAAGGTTGCGACCGCGACACTTACGGAGTTCGCAGCCAGCGAAAGTTATGCGGCGCCTCGCGGGACAGTGTGGACCTGCTGCCCACACCGGGACCCACGACCTCCTGGACGGCGTCTCTCTCCAGGGATGAAGGCAGAGAGGCCGATGAGATCTTCGAGTTCGACGGCGTGGACTCGGCCGCGATCGTGCCGAACGACGTGCTGGAGCACAGCCTGGCGCAGAAGTTCACCATCGGCGTCTGGGTCAAACATCGACCGCGTCCGCGGCAGGATCCGCATGTTAAGGAGCATATTTTATGCGCTGCTGACGATCACAGTAAGTTTTCACGTAATTAATGTTAAATAATTAATGAGATTAATTATGATATTAATTCTGCTCCGCGCGTTATAATATGTGGCTTTTCTGGATTTATTACACATTTTATGAACTTATATTAAAATATAAGAGTAATTATGATAATGTAATAATTTAATTAGAATAATTCTCTCATGACAAAGATAATTCTCTGACATTATAAAATTTCGAAATTTCAAAGAGTAATTTTGTACCATCGGTTACATTGTACTTGACGATTACCATATTGTTATAATTACCATACTCAACTCTGCAGTAAGGAGGCAGGGGAAAGAGCTAAACTTTATAATTCCCATTTCCCAATATCTGAGAGAGACAATAATCATTTTAGGCACGTGATAAGAACACCAGTCGTTTCCACGTCGGTGTTCGTTAATATAATCGTTGTTAGTAGAATACATTACGCGCGGCCGAGAGTGCGCGTGCTCAGGCGTTAAAATATACACGTTCACTCCCGGTCGGAAACGCCGGGTATTATCGTCAAGTTTCGAACAAAGCGGCTTAATCCTTGCGCGGAATGAATTTTGGCAAGAAATCAGGTCGCGCGCGCGCGCGCGCATTTATTATATAGGTCGTTGCGCTCGCTCTGCCGCGCGAGCAGAGTTAAACTCGAATATTCTACCCTATCTCTACCCGGTTTGAAATACAAATCTTTCTAAATACCGACCGGTCTCCATAGACGACGTGTAATCCTCCGTTATAAACGTCCTCTCTCGTCCTTTTACAAGCTCTCTCTCTCGCCTTTCGCATTAAATTTCTCTCTCTCTCTCTCTTTTCGCCTCTAATGCCGTTGCGCGTTTCGACACTTTATTACGCGCGGCGACGTCGCGAAAGGTGCAACTAACGCCACGCCGTTTCAATTACAGAGATGAATAGACACCATTACGCCCTGTTCATAAGGAACTGCAGATTGATTTTGCTGCTGCGACGCGACTTCTCTGAGGGCGATCCCAATATCTTCCGCGCCGCCGAATGGCGCTGGAAGCTCGGCCAGGTGTGCGATGACAAATGGCATCACTATGCGATCCAGGTGGATTTCCCGCGTGTCAATCTGCTCGTCGACGGCGAGGAGTGGCGCGCCGACGAAAAGAACCCCGAAGTCATCGACGACTGGCCTTTACACCCGGCCAAGGGCGTCAACACCACCCTGGTGGTCGGCGCGTGCTGGCAAGGCTCCGAGAACAAGACCAAACACCACTTCCGCGGCTACCTCGCCGGTCTGTCCGTTCTGGTCGGCCGAAACGAGAAATCGGAAGTGCTTTCGTGTCTACGACGCTGCCAGGAAGGCATCCACGTGCCGCCCATGGACCTGTTGCAACCAGGTACTCAATTGCTGACTAATTCCGACATGACCGAAGTGCGTATCGACGGCGATAATCGCACAAACGTGGAGACACTGTTGCGTCGCATCGGCTATTCCAACACCCGGCGTTTCCCGACGCCCGGTCGCCGTAACTTCCGCCTCGACACGACGATTGTCTGCGAGGGCAGTGAGAACACGCCTCTGCCGGTGCCGACTGTGCAATCTTACGTCACCGTACTACCGCCACCGAGACCAGGCATCACCGTCAACGGCACCGGTTACGTGGCCAGGGAATACGCAGATTTCCGGCTGGGAGTGCGCGTGTTTCCGGACGCCCGCGTCACCGCCGGCTCAGCCGCTCGTTTAGACGCCTGCGCCGTCAGCGTTTATCCGAGTCTCAATCCGGATCACGAAAGTCTGGGATTACCCGGCGACGCCCTATTGGCGTTCCATGACATCTCCGCCCGCGTCGACCGGGACGGCGTTGTTCTCTCGGGCGCAGACTCGCCCTACAACTACCAGCAACTCATCCGTCTCATCATGTATACGAACCGCAAGCCGGCTTACTATCTCGATCGCGTCTTCAAACTTACCTGCTCCGAACTGAGCGGTCGGTTTGCCAGCAACGAGTACGTTCAGACGTTGGCCGTGATCCATCCCAAGGAGAAGACGACCGTCGCGCCGCACACGACGCCCGGTGAACCGCCCATTGCCAGAATTATCGAGCCGGCACCGGGTCACGCGCAGCTTTCGCAGCACCACGCCGACGTGTCGGACGAATACGCCACAGCCGCGCTTCGCGAAGGCAGCAAAAGCACCAGCGCCGGCCACAGCCACGCCGTGACAATCGTTGCCGCCGCCTGCATCGGCTTCTTGCTGCTAATGGCGGTGGTGGGCGCCGCGCGGGTCCGCGGAGCGGCCAAGCGACGACGATCCGCCGGCGACGAGCTCGCCGCCGAGACCGAGATGGCCTGGGACGACTCGGCTCTCGCCATCACCGTGAACCCGATGGACAGGTTGACGGAGCAGGAACAGCCCCACCAGAGCCCGCGGGACGAAGACGTGGACGACTCCGGCAGCTCCGACTCCGAGGATGGCTCGTTCCGGGACGACGATCTCGATAGCTCCGACTGCGAGAACGACTGCGACCTCAGCAACGATCGACATCGCAGTCACAATGCGCCGCACGATCTGGAGTGGGATCATCGTGACGTTTAAATTACATTACTATCTCTACACTGAGCATTCACACATCCCCCTTTTCTTCGCGTGGCATTGAGAGGAGTACTGGCCGCGTGCCGCTTTCTTCCGCAAAATTGCTCCGTCGTATAACCGTTCTCCTCGGGATGCGCGCGATACGCCCGTATTACGGACACGTTTCGGAAGCATGCCGCGAAGAAGCTATCATCGGTTTCGCGAGCTCGTTCTATAGAGTTTCGGATCATTGTCTACGGATGTCTCTGGTCGAACGCGATTTGCACCGGACAGATCGACTTCTCGAGGAGGTTCCCTCCTCGCGCATCAGATATCACGACGCGTCGTTAAGAGATTAGAATATTTACTACACTTTCGAATCTTAGAATATAGTGTATTAAAATTTTAACATTCTTAAGCTGCTCCGCACACCGCTCGATCGATTCTCTAAACGATTATTATCTCTAAATGTATCGCGCGAGAGCGTTATCGTATTACATCCGTCCCCCTTCCCTTTGTAGACGACGTCGGTATAATTAATAAAGTAAAAAAACAAACAATAAAGAGGAAACGACAAAACGGCATTCAGTTAGTACTCGTCTTGAGCGCCAAGGAAAAGCTGTAAGAGTGCGGGACGCTTTACCGAGTAGTTGAAACTCTTTCTACCTACGAACACACGTCGTTGATGTTTGGTAGAATCGAAAAATACACACGCAAGAGATACTTAAACATCGCCGGGAATATTTCCGACGACGGAGTATTCACGACAGTTATTAATTTATATTCTTGACTCATCATTGGTAGTATTTAGGACAAGGGGACTTTTTTCTTTTATACTCCTAATTATCTCTCCTCCTTTTTACTCTATTCTACGGTTATCGCTATTTTATTGTACTAACGCTACGATCATAGCTACTTTATCGATAGTTGTTTTCGTTATTATTATTACTATTACTATTACTATTATTATTATTATTAATATTATTATTATTATTATTGTAATTATAGGCAGGATGGCCCAGTAGCATAGTTTTTAAATGCAATACAGTGCTGAGCCGACTCTTATTCTTCCTCGTCTTCTCGGCTAAACTCTGTTATTCTCTAAGGCCCACACGCATTTGATCTCATGAATAAAATTCTCTCGCAATAATTGTGTCTTTCGTATTTCGATCAAAAGCGTTCACGGACACGAGCTGATGTAAACGAAATCAGCGGCTAAAATGCGCGTGGTAGATAAAAGCTGCTTGCTTCGGTATAGCACGGGCTGAGCCTGGGCCACACGATACTTGCCCATTTTTCCATTTCTACTTTTAAGTCGAGATGTTTCGCCTTCGATCCTTTTTTTTTTTTGTATGATGTTTCTTCCTGGTCGATCTACAGAGAAGATAAAAATTTAAAAAAAAAAAAGGAAACGTTAGTAAGGACATTGCCGCGCATTATATGATAGTGCTTCGACGTTAACATAATCGGTACAGCATCATATCCGTATATGTGTGTGCGCGCGTACACATGCGGAAGCGGCCGTAAAGCGACGCATACTCGGGGACCCATTAGTCTGTGAACACTCGGAAAAAAATTCAACATTTGGCAAGAGAACAATCTACACGCGAGCGGATGCTTCATATGTTACGTAATTTTGCCCGGTATAAATATTCATTTCTAATTATAATTGAAGTTATCTGACACGTGAAGAATCGGCTTCTAACGTGGATCATTTTCCCTTTGTCCGAAGTTTCTCTGATTTTCCCACAAGTGTTCACGGATTAAGCAGCAGGCTGCCCGTGAGTGATTATGTGCGCGCGACACGCACATACTCTACATACACATATGTACGGCGTCCATTCATTATTCTGTGGTGAGAGTTTGTCTCGCAAACTAGCAGACGATTATTCTAAAATAATGCGCAGCGGCTGGAGGAGCCATCGAGCGTGCTTCTCTCGCTTTTTTCCCCGACACTAGACGCGTTGTATTGTGCAATCGCTCTTTTCACAGAGAAAACTGATTTTTACGTGCCTTTTTAAGCAGCAGTAGTTGACGTTGAATTCTCTGCTCGTACGTATATTTTAATAGAGTATCTCAGGCCGCGTTTTTTCGTCAGTGTCCCGTCGACGTCGATGGGTTCCGTATTTTCACGTATCGTTATCGAGAGTCTTTCGCGATAGCGCAGTTTTCGAATACGATAAACGGTAAAAGTTTCACGTTGTCTCCGCGCGACGGCTCCCATCGTAAACTTTTGCAATCGCTGTTTTGATGCGATCTCGACTCGTCACCGCGTACTCGAAATGCGCTATTGCGAAAAGTTCCGATTGTATTTTAGACGTTTATCGTTAAACGGCTGTTAGGAGTTAAGAATTGGACGCGTTCATCCGGGCGACGTCGCGCTCACGCCGGCGGCTCGCGGAGCGTTTCCGCTCGGTGCGACGCGCCGTCGTCCGGCGGGCCGTCACGAGTCTATCGGCGCGGCACAATGCCTGTCGATGGTCTCGTGTCGGAGAACGCGTCGCCATACGTGCAATGATCCCATCGCAGGGTACGTTAACTCTCTCTCGCACTCTCTCTCTTTCTCTTTCGTCGAAATGGTGACACGACGACTGCGCATTCGGTATCGTCAACTCGCCGCAAAGTAATGAACGGATCCTCCCCCCCGTGTGTGTGTATGTGTGTGTGTGTATGTCTGTTTTTGCGTAAATCTAGAAATTATACCGAATCGTTCGGCGGAGGCACCTAGTACCGGAGAACTCGCGTACGGATATATCTATATTCATATAGGGAGAAGTAAAAAAAAAAAGAACTATGAACAATTTATTTTTCCAACGAGCATATCATATCATTTTTATAAGGTATTCGTCGGTACACGTTTTTTGGGAAAAAAACTTTCATCAATGAGCGAACATCCCGCAACGGCGATCCGCGGTTGCGAAAACATACGTCACTTTGCCCGTATAAAGAGAAAAAGAAAATACGCAATTTCTTTCTCGTCTCAAGGGATAGATTTATTTTTTCTTTTTCAACTTATCTCCGTTCCGATTAGAACGATATACCCTCACTTACGCATTTCTCCGATTCGCGCGAAAGCAGATACTTTGCGAAGAATTCGGATTGTTCTTAAACGAGAAAGCGGAGGTCGATGACTCTGAAACAGAGAGAGAAAAATATACAAATCGTCGATCGTTTATCTGTTCCTGATAATACCAGATCGCATATACACTTATACATATACGTAAAATGCCGGTGTGTACGCTTGCTTTTGTACCGTTTTTCCTTTTTAGCGTTTTTCCTAACGCCGATTTATTATATTGCAAGCGCGAATCTTATCGTAATGTAATCTCGTATTTTATAAAGATCATAATTATACGACGTAATTGCATCGTCACATAGGACAGGAAAGTATCAATGAAATCAACTAAACACTCCATGTGGAAGTGTCCGGAAAATCGAACGGAGTCGAAGAAAGGATCTGGCCTTTATGAGTGTGTCTAAATTAGCTTACGTAAATGTACACACACACGTTAATATATGCGTTAATCTACGAACACACAAGCGTTCGTAAGTGCATGGTGAATTATACAGTTTGGGACATATGGAATTTCCTATTTCGTTTGATCGTCATACACGCGATACATTGTAACAATACTCGATCATCGTATATTACGGTATCGTAATGACATCTTTAAATGCATTACGATGTCGAATATGATGAGATCTCAAAAGAGCCCGTAAAAGTTGAAATGAAAAAGGTCTCTTGCAAAAAGTAATTCTGCTCGATAATCACGTGAGGGATCCCTTATTTAAACAGTTTTTCGTTGATCTCGACATTGTCGTCTATTTTTGTATTTTTTATTTGAAAAGTTATTCTCACAGAGTTTATGAGTTGTTTTAGCATCTAGAAAAAATATACTTTATGAGTCTTGCTTTAATATCTAAAAAATATATTCCTCGAATAAACATTTTGATTCTGATTTTGAAATTAACACCCATATATAACAAAATAAAGTTTTGAAAAAAGATGACATTTAAATTATATATAAAAGATGAGATATTTGAAATTCAAGTGCGGCGTAATTTATTCAATCAATAAACACTGCTTTATAAGGGATATCCCAATCAGCTGTTTGCTGGCACTTTTTGATATTCCGAGCGAAGCATTGGGAAATTAAAAGTCTCTTTCGATCAATAATCAAGAAATCAACAAGACGGAAAAGACGCGATTTGGAACACGCGAGTCTAATCGGGTGCGCGCACCTACTCTAGAGATGTACTTAATTATTGATTAATGGGAAACGGAAAAAAAACTATGCAGAACAAAACCAACTAGATGATACTATTATATAATATATATACATAAAAAAAATATATCTAAGCTGTTTGCAAATGATGATATAAAGAAGGGAGCAGGAAAGAGAAGGGAAAAAGGTAATGAGAATTTGTAATGTATTATTGTGTATTTTGTAGGCAGCTAGAGCGTGTACGTATACATATGCACAGGTATCGCCCCGGTGTACGTATGTATATTTACGTATATAAATATACATACTCTCCCTATCCCATCCCTCGTCTCACTTATATACACTTACATATACGCGTGCCGTTTTGCCTAAAAACGGTCAGAGGAATATTTTGGATTTTACGAGAAGAATGGGAGAGCGCTCGGAAAAGCCGCCGGGGGCTGCAACACACGCCGGATCACATTTTCCGAATCTCCGAAGGAAAACCCCACTCGTCTGTCCGACGAAGCGAGGGGCATTCTCTTCGGGGCGCATATTACACATCACCGACGCGTATCGACTTTTACACAGACACACCGACGTATCTCGATGCGACGACATGTGAAACCGTGCATGTATAGACGCGCGCGTATAAAACGAGAAATTATAACGCTTCGCGGAGCGAACGCTCGTGCCATTCGTCTGATCCCCCGCTTTCAGAGCTTGTCTTCTCTTTTGGAGCCAGCGAATGGAAATGTAAAAAGATAGACATTCATCTTACAGCTATTCAGAGACAGAGCGAGAGATTTAGCGGTGCGGTAAAAATTTTCCCTCTGATAGCTCCGGAACGTTCGCTAATGAAATTTGTTTGAATTTTTGATTGATGCACGTTACGCAATTACGCGAACAGTTCGATTGTAATTGATGTAACTGATTGATTTCGGCGAAACAAATCCAAATGGAAAGTACGAAGCTCGTTAACCGAGATCGGAATATATATTTTCGCGAGCGATTCGTTCTCTCATATTTCTGATATTGGAAAGCGCGACTAAGCCAGTATATTAAACGGGTATAATGAAAAGTATATTATATTTCTCATTATCGAGCAATCACTCCAGAACTTCGTTATTATTTCTCGTTATATAACGACGCTCTAAAGAAAAAAAAAGGAGAGAACACAAAGAAATGGCGCGTAATAACGTTACAAACGTTAACAATAAAAAGTAAACGATAAATTGCACGGCGACGGTGTAATGAGTGAAATAATCAATTACTGATTAGCTAGGCAGTAATGGAATATCATTACGTGCCGACTAAATTCCCTCCCATCGCAGATTGATTGTGTGTTAACTAATAAGATTAAGTAATATAGTACAGTTAAGGAATTTAATTATTATGGATAAATAAATAAAAAAAATACTATCTGTATGCTAAGCACACACATTTCAAGCCGTAACGTGACGTATGGCTAAAGGCAATGTTTATGACTTAAACGAGTCTTTAATTTTAATGTGACACACTGAGTTACTCGGCGCGTCTGCACCGCGACGCACAGAAACGTCAAATTACCTTGTTAACTCTGCAAACTGAAAGATCGTTCAAGAGACAAAAAATGGAGTATTAGCAATAGCATAACTATACACATGTACACGACACAAGATCACGCGCGGCCGCATATACACGCTGCACAGGCTAGGAAAAATGAAATACTATCTATAACGACATTATAAATAACATTAAGACGTCAACTGTATTTGTTTAATAAAGATGTACATTCGACGTGCGAATTGACCATTGTGTAACCGGCAGGACACCGTAGTTCACAAGTTTCGTCGCGGATTTGAGAATGACGATTTACATTTTAACGAGATCAAATATATCTTGAATATTTTTAATAGATTATTCTTACACTTGTGCGATATGGGATTTTGGAATGGTCTGCCGGTTAAAAATGGACATTGAATTATTTTTATTCTCGCCTACATTGCCTTCACATCCGTCCCATAATCCGTGACCCTTTCATTTCCGCGTAACTACACTACGTGTATATTGAATGAGCATTCGAGGAAACGAAATCAAGTGTTTATAAATGTCAGAATTTTTTTTATTTGATATACATATTAAATAAAAATTATTTGCACATATACAACGCGAACGATTGTAGAACTAATATTATGCTGCGATGCTTTCAATTAGACAAGTGGCAACTCAATATTTCTTTTTGCATCTTGATAATTATTTATAAATATACATGCAAATGCGATATCTAATCGACAAAATTGTATTGTTACTTTCGCTCTCCGCTTTGTTTGAGCTGTTTTGCCCATTAAAATCAAATTTCACTGGAAATTTCAACTTCTAATTATAATATATAAATTTATGTTTTTAGAAATTTTCTACTTGTATTTAATAGATTAATCTCGATGTAAACGGGTAACACACGTGATGCTTAAACTCACCGCGGCAATTTCCCGAATTTGCTATTACATGTTAATAACTCGACATTACTCATGTGTGTGCGATAAGATAATATTGCATTATCTCTCGATGATTAGGCTATGAGAGGTAACTCACTAAATCTTGATAATTTTACATGTTTCTACATTTGTACCTTAAAACGGTATATGTATTTATCTTTAAGATTACATTCTTTGAAGAAAATCGTTCTAAGATGGTAGGAAGATGATACTGCAAGGAATTTTGAAAAGTACAGGCATTCAGAAATCATATTATTAAGGAATTGTAATTTTTTTCATGCATATCAGTAAGTATCTTCAACAACATAAAATTAGAGTAATAACGTAAATTATTGCAAAATATCGCAATAATTTTAACCAGTCCCACCGACGTGCAATAATTGCACTTAGTTTGGCATAATATATATTATTGATTATATAATATACATTAAGATATAAATGATATATAATATATATTATGTCATGTATATTAATAACATAAAGCTACAAAAAAGTTAGTCTAATTTTCAAAAATATAAGATCGTCTACATATATCTCTTATATCTCTTATATCTTATTAAATAAAGTGTAATATGAAAATATAAGAAAGTAACATTTAAATATTTTTGTTCTCGATTCTATAATAAATATTTAAACAATAATACATAGAAGTGATATGACCAGATAGAAAAGTCTAATCAAAGAATGTTCTAATTACAAGGGACTTACTTCATGCAATAGTTATTAATAAATACTATATCCTCTTTGTTGTATACACTTGTCTTTTCACTTCAGTTCTTAAAACTTCCATTTTCCTTCACTATCGAAACTGAAATATTACTTCTGCTTTTTATAACTTTGTTATAAACATATGGTCTCAAATGTTATCCTACATTGTCGCTTTGAATATTTATAGTAGGATACACCCCTCTTCTCAATATCAGCAAACGATGATTGTTGGCTCGCCATTGTTGGGAGAAAACAATTTGATGTGTTCGGCATTCCAATGTAATAACGCCCCTTGACAAACGACATTCCATACATAAGGAATGAAGAATTCTTCTGGTTGTTCTTCTTCTACATATTTAAATTTCAATTCAGGAAATTTCTATAAACGGGAAATATATGTAGTTATACACATACATTAATTAATACATTAACATTTTTACAATTCAAATAGATCATAACAAATTTTACGTACTCTTAAACGATCGCGTGGCCATTCTGAAGTTCCTTGTTGTATAGTGGCTAATACTTGACTAACACCGATTTGCGATTGGTCTTTTTGTTCCAATTTATAAGAGAAAAAATTAATTACCTAAAAATCACATTTTAAAAACGTTCAATCATTATTCTTATCGATTCTTAAAGTCTATAAATATTGAACTATAAAATTGTGCGTGTATTCTATTTACTATTTAAAAATAAAAACTTACAGAATCAATATTTTGCACTATATCTTGAAAAGCAGAATGCATTCTAAACGGTTGAAAGACATCTTTCTTGTAGAGAAGAGTGTAAATTAAGTTCGGATTATGCGCAAGTCTATGAGTTAAACAACTATTTATAATTTCGAGCACCATTCGCAGAACTTCCTCAAGTATGGTTAAATCTTGAATCTGGAATAATATATTTTACTTGATAAATGCTGAAAACAAATCAATATATTTATATAATTAAAAATTTACCAAATCTGCATTAGCGAACTGATTGGTACCGGTTGCGTTTCCATTAGTCACGTTATCAGATAAATTAACATTAACATTGGTATTATTAGCAGAAGTCGCTTGTGCTTGTGTTCTAATCTTTGCTTCTAGCCGTGCATGCTTTTTTGCAAGAGTTTCAAATAGACTTAGCAATCGCTGACTGACGTAAGGATGTAACGATGTGAATTGAGCAGACATATTTGCCAAGGCTGCTAGACAGTTCGTATGAAGATATTTGTCCTAATAAAAAAAATATAAATTTGCAGATACGTAGCTCTACTCAATAATCAATACACAAGGTAAAAAACAATATCACACTTACCCGCATTTTAAACATATTATATTGAATCGTGCGAATTACAACAAGAATTAAAAGACCGCCTAACGATATTTCACTTATGGATCTTTCAGTATACCATGTTATACCCTTGAGCATCTTAAAAGAAAAATAAGATATATTGTAATTATTAATCGTTACTATAATCATTATATTGCATTACATAAAGTCTTAAAACTTACAATTTCATGTATTCTTTTGTTAAATGTTTCATCTTCGCTTAAAATTAGAAGGATAATAAGAGACATGTAAATATGATGCGACGTATTGTTTGGTGCGTGATATAATATTTGTAATATTGGAGTTACCTATAAACAAACATTTTAATGTTTAAGTATAATTACTAAAAAAAAAAATGTTCTTTGAGTTACCTTTAAGTCACTTACCAATAACTGTATGTCAGGTCTTCTCATTATGTCCTGCTTTACACTCGAGTTCCTGTGTAACAGCATGTAGAGGAGGAGCGTGACTTCGTCTGTATTTGGTATCTTACAAATAGTATTATATAATTTGCTTAAATTAAATTTGAAAGTTTCGCTTGCTTTCGTTTGCGACGTAGTATAATCTTCTGTAAAAATATATATTATCATTATTTATCTAATCTGTGATATATACGTACTATAATCCTTTATAATCAACATCTAACATAATTTGTCAACGATATTAATAATAATTAAATTAAATAAGATCGATGCTCACCTTGCATATCTATAAAAGAGAAAAGCGCATTTCTATATGGGTTTTCTGTAGCGGTACAATGATTCGTCAGAACCAATAAAAGTAATAGAGATTGACTAGCGAGCGGAGTTTCCGTGTTGCGCTTTCTTTCTTCATCCTCAGCGGCGCCATTATGTGCAATCTGTATATTTTTCGAACCACTGCCTATGCCCATTCTTATTACGTTCCACAGTCCGGCTGAAACAATGCTTCATATTAACGCTTGTAAAACAGACCGCTCACGTTTTGTGATATTATTATATTTACCAGCGATACTGAATACAATACTACCTCCAGGTTGCTGCGTCAGCAATCCCGGAGGAGCGTGTTCTTGTTGGATAAAATTGTGCAACAGTGTGCACACTACAGCAGGCGCATGCTGACTTGAATGCGCGTGCATTGCTATTCTATACACAGTACTGTATTCGGCTGCAGTTTGTGAGAACAACTGTACCGAAAGCAACACGAGTAAACAATTAATTGCTTCCAAGTGAACAAGGTACGTAAAGTCGCTGTAAAGAATATAGGTATATTTCTACATATATGTATAGTATATATATATATATAAATATTTAAAAAAATTTATGGATACAAATATATTAATCTTGTATGCGTGTATTGCCTTCACTCACCACAAAGGTACATCTGTAATAAGTTCTATCAATGTTTCAACGAATTCTTCCAATCTAAAAGAAGATAATGCTTCATTTGTCGCTGTTGTTTGCGGTGCCTCAATGTGTTTCAGCATTTCTTCCTCACCCACTGTCTCAATAAGATACTTCAAAATGCATCTCACAGCAAACAAAGAATTGTATGTCTGCCATGCTGATATTACACTGTAAGTGCCGATATAATTTGTAAAGTTATACAATTTAAATGTCACATATGTTCTTTAGAGACAAGACAAGAGTTTTTAATATACATATTACATTATTTAATATGATATTACAATTAATGATGAGATTTCAAGATTCTTACTTGCAAATTTCTAAACAAGTCAAGAATGACCAAGAATAAAAAGATCTTGCAAGACTGTTATAATTGAAAAAGTCTTGAAAGTCTTGAATCTCTTAAATGTGTTAAATATTTTGAATAATATAACACATAACATACACATATACATATATGTATATACACATGTATTATAGCATTCAAGATTTTTTAAGATTTTCAATCAGTTTTGCAAGATGTTTTGAGACTTCTTCGATTTTCAGCTTTTAACTCAAGATATCTTGAGACGATTTGAATCCCATCACATAATTACAATATATATATTGTAATGAAGCAACATGGACTTACTTTTGAATAGGTGCAAGGAGCTCATTAATGAATGAGAGAGCTACTTGTATCAGAGTACCAAAGTTGCCTGTAGTCAAATTATTGACAAGCAACTGTTGACACGATAAGTCTAATCGAGAGTCGAGTTCTATTTGATCGTTTCTTGTAATGGGTGGTCGCATATTGTATGATAGAAATGTTTCCCAGAATGGATCATTCGCAGGTATACTCTGCTTCCCACAGAATTTTTCCAGGTGCACATTTTTGGAGAGATCTTCATAGCGACTCGGCGTCGTACCCATTGCCTCTATCGATTACCTGAAAGTAAAAGACAGTGACTTCCTATGTCGACTTATAAAATCTATTCTTTTTGTCACAACGTTATGTCATTATTTTACAGACATGTATGTATCAATATGCGATGAAAGTAACACAAGAGAATATTAAGCAATTGACATTTTGTTAACTTAAAAGTATTCTTGGAATTTCTGATGGCAATGTAAACACAAAAATTATCCTAATTTTGAAAGTGACACAATCAAAAGTATACAGTTGACGTTTAGTTTGACAGTAGCTTAGCACGAGAAGGAATTGACATGGATAATCATGCGCAATTGCAAATGTTCTAATTATTTCATTATATGCACAATTGTATTCTGATGTAGTGTTCATGTTATAATAATAGAACGTTATTTTGCCGACATATAAGTGTAAACGTCGTGACAAACTAATAACCTCCGCATGTCATTTAATATATATAGATTCAGCGGAATCGCCGGCCCCTTTTTCTAGCGGTGTTTGCAATCACGTCTTCGTATCACTTGAGACGTCGCATTCCGCGTCTGCAACCACTAAGACAAAATGCACTTACAAAATTACTGATATCAGTCAGACTCGTACACAACTCATGGACAGAAAAAAGTTCCACACTGGCATTTAGCTGACGTATCGATACGCAGTCGCTCTGTCGATGAATCGATTCTACTATATCGATTACTGAATCTCGCAATCAAATTACGAGTTGTGAGTGAATACACGTACTGTAAATGAGTTTTTAATAATTCTATTCTTCTTAATAATTACTAAACTTATTGTTTACAAATTAATTATTTATCATTATTTTTTAATATTGTCTATATTATTCTCCAAGCCGACAATAAGGATTTTTGGAATCGATACCATGCTACTACATCCGGGAGAAATATGAAAATGGTTAGCAGGTTACCGTGGCATTATTATATTTTAAAATATTTTGTAAAAACAACGTTACAAGATATTAGTTAAGAGAATGCATTAATGTCGGCATCGATCACGGACGCTAAAGTGCCACCATTCGTCAACTTTGTAATCGGTGCCATATCAGGGTAAAAAAAATTTTATAATTTATTTGATGCAAATGTTCAAAAAAATATTTTAGGTTAAAATTGATTGTAATCATATTTCGGCTAATAATAGAGTGGCAGCTCAGGTACCAACGCATCCTATGGACGTTCTTAAAATACGCATGCAAGTGTCACGAAATACTTTACGCAACACAGTACTCCAAACATTCAGGACGAGCGGAGTTTTTGGTTTTTACACAGGACTGAGCGCGGGTCTTCTTCGTCAGCTGACTTACACCACTAGCAGACTTGGAATTTACACCACGTTGTTCGATATCGCAGAGTAATAGCATATGTTTAAAAATTAATCGTAATTTGCAGTGCTAAATTGTGCTAAATATACAAAAAAAGTCAAAAAGTAAAGAAACATTTTCAATTAATTTGGAAATCAAAAAGCTTTTTTATTTTTTGACTTTTCCTCATTTATATTATGCAAATCGTTCAATATCTACATGTCTTCAATATCAACAAAATTTCTTTCCATAGACAACATTTTGGTCGTTTAAATTATGCAACGATGATTAGCCTCGGAATGGTAGCTGGCGTAATGGGCTCTTTTGTTGGTACTCCTACGGATCTGGTATTGATTCGCATGGTGGCTGATATACATCTACCAGCAGGTATTTTTTGTCCACTAATATACATATATCTGCCAACAGATATTTTTTTCCACTAATATTTATTTCTCAGTGCTTTTGGGCAATAGAAAGTAAAAAAAAAAAAAACAAATGTCTTGCAAGCGTATAGTATGCTTGATGCAAAATTAATTGTTAGAAAAACAAAGAAATTACAAGAATGCAATCCATGGTATTGTCAATGTATGGAAGACTGAGGGGTTCACCAGATTATGGCGAGGAGCAGTGCCCACGATGGGCAGGGCAGCGGTCGTCAATGGAACACAGCTAGGTACATATACCAGAGCGAAGATGTTGCTGGAAGACACAGGTTGTTAAATTTTGCAATGCTAGATTTATTATTTCGATAAATTAAGAGAAGAATATAAATAATGACTTAGTATCTATGATTTAATTACAATTTTAATAATAATTAAATATCATATATTTTTAATACGACAGCATACATAAAAAATGATATACAACTGCAATTTGCTGCTGCCATGATGTCCGGTATAGTCACATGTTTTGCTTCGATTCCGATAGACGTTGCTAAAACTAGGTAAAACAATAATATCAAAAATGAAATGATTGAGATTTATCTTTAAATATGTGTGATCCCTTCAGAATTCAAAACTTGAAACAATTCACAAGATCACCTACCGTTGTCGCTACAATCATTAACATTACTAAAACGGAAGGTTTAACATCGCTATGGCGCGGTTTCCTTCCGTATTATTCCCGAGCAGCGCCTAACACTGTAATCACTATGGTATGTGTCGATCAGCTTCATAAAATATATTTAAAAATTTTTTCTCGATAATAAAATTTACACTTGTGATGTCAAATATTTTCTTAAGTGCATATTACAATATTAAAATTAAAAAAAAAAATAGGCAAACTATTGCATAAAGCTATTGTTAGCAACTAAAATTTAATTACATTAGTACAAGACAATATTTCCTTAAAAAATATATTTTTAAAATATGAAATTTTATACATTTATGTATAACTTACGAGTATAATATCAAACAGCCATTAAAGTTTGTGTGGTTTTGCTGATAATAAACTTTACGTAAAAGCGCACAAACTTTGTTGATTATTTGATAATTATGAAAATAAAATTTATAGATAAATTTTGATTCGGATAAATTTTTTTTATTATTTGACTGATTATTGAATGTATGATCTATATAAGTTCATTAATTGCTCGTTAATAATAAGAGTCAGTACTGTGTGCGGACCTATTCTGCAATAAGTCGGCCAGAAGCCCTTCCAAAGAGATCCTATTCCCTCGTTTTTTGCTATTGACATCATAACTGCGGTCATACCTGGAAGTTTTCCAGTGATCTTCATGTTTTGTATTCTGTTGACATATAGCAATCCTGCTGAATTCTTTTGACGAAAGTTAATATTAATTTAAAAATCTTAAATATTAAAATCAATCTGATAACCTGGTTTTGGTGACATCAAAGGGCATAGAATTAAAGGCGGTGAGGAATCCTGATATCATCGATGCGTAAAAGTGCAAGAGTATGCCCTCCTTGACATTCGCTACGAGAATAATTGACGAATAATTTCCCAAGTAACATATGCATGTCATCTAAAAATATCTAAGAACATGCGCGCGCTTTAGAGCTTTGCAATTTTTCCAAAGTTTTTTTGCGTTAAAATATGTTCGGAGAAATTACGTACGCATAAGTTACAGATACTGAAATCTTACACATACTTCGTGATTTAATCAAAAGCTTCACTTGACTGTAAGTCGCCAGTTGCGAAATGTTAACAACAATAGCTCTTCCTACGGTAGGCAAGCTTCCTCTCCATAAAGCGAACATTCCCTCCTCTCTGACGATCCTGACGAACGCGTCAAACACGTTTTTGTAATTTCTCCGCTGCTCTAAATATTATAAATATTAATGGAACGACATATCAGTTAATTCTTAATTAATTGGGGAGAATGCAATTTACAATGTATAAATTTCATATCTTATTACCTACCCACGGGTAATCTACCATCTGTTGTCATTCTTACGAGGGCAAGGTCGGCTGGTGTCCCAACAAACGCTCCAATAGCACCGGCACTTCCAGCCATAAGCATCAGAATAGCAAAGGCAGGAGGACCGACGTAGTTTTGTCTAAGAATGTACATCAAATACAATCAATTTCTGTTCAAACTACAGCCAAGCGTCCTTAATTACTTTAATTGCTTTAGTTATTTGACCGATATATCTATTTAGAAGTTATCACAAAGATATTTCAGAGAAATATTTTCCAGTCTTTTAAATATCTCTCAGACACACACATTGTTGAGATTTTTGCGTTGTCCGAATATTTTTAGTCACTTTTCTGAAATTTCTTCATTTTGTCAACGTCGTTGAGATTCACCTCCAAAATTCATGCATCTGATTGTAGATTCCGAGTCGCACGGTCGTGTACGTGGCCTGTCTCACTAGACCGGCTGTCAATCCATTGTAAAATGCCAAGATGCCTTCCTTGCTGTATGTGATGCTGATTGTGTCCAGAATCGATGCTTTGCCCTTGAGCACTTGCATCCTATTCTTGATTACGTCCATCGGATGAACCACACAAGTTGCTGCCATTCTGAAGCAGATATTTAAGACGGTATATTTTTTTTTTAGTTTAAGATATCGTTCGAATTACCCGGAAAGTCCACCAAGTAAGAAATTGATTGTCGGCGGTATAGGTTGTAACTTCTTCTCCTGCAGCTCTCCATTTTTTCTTAACATTTTCAACAACTCTTTATATCACTCGGCATACGTTAGATAAATAAAATATTTTTTGCTCTTATTTTTATTTGTTAAATTAAAAATATTTCTAGAACAATAAAATACACGTGTATCGAAACTTTTATAAATTATTAATTTTTGTGGAAGTTAACCGTTAAAACGTAATGTTTTGCGGTATGAAATTAAAATATCGATTCTTAAATCGATTTTAATTAGTATTAGAGTACATTGATTAATTATTGCATTTATTATTCTATTCATAAATTTTTTGAAATAAGTAAGAAAGTAAGAAAATAGAGATATAGTAATAAATCAATTGCTATTTTTTAATTGATTTATTCTACCAGTACAAGAATTTGATATACGTTGTGCACTGTTTCTATAAGAAACTATTTTATATTAGATGTATATATATCGCAACAATAAAAAACTGTGAGAGTGCTCAAACTTTCGCGAGTTGATTAATTGTTTGCAATATTGCTATCTTTGTTCGTACAAGATCTTTATATGAGTTACGATAGAAACGGACGATAGGTTGATACAATGCGAAAGTGATTTGAATACATTATTTTGACAAATGATAGAATGTGTACGAACAAATATAAACCGCGTAATAATTACGGACAGCTACTACAAGTAATATATTTGTTCGGCCGGAACAGGTTTTGTGCCAACACGACGGACTCCGTGTTTTCTCTTCGGCCGCTCTACTCTGACAGTCTCTTCGACGTTTCTTAATGGTGTTAACCCCATTTCCTCTTTACACTTCTACAAACAGAGACAATATTTACAATTGTTAGCATATCTAGATTGCAAACTCTTACGTTAAAAGTATTCAAACGCACTTTTATGGCTTTAATAATCGGATAAAGCGGCCTCACGCCTTTCGATTCTTCTAAAACTTCATCAGCGTAAAGAAGAATCCTCTGATTAGTCTTCTCGATTGTGGTTTTCATAGCTTCGATTTCGAAATCTTTTTCACGTTGTCTTTCAATCTGTTTCTCCTCCTGATAATGTGAAAAAATTTATTAATAATTTTTTATACATGCAAATTGAGAGAAATATTATAAAAGTTTACAAAATCTGAAATACAAAACAAAAAATAGTTGAGAAATTACGTTTTAAGTAGAAACTACAAAATAATGTTGTCAAAAAAGTGTGGTCCAATATAAAAAAAGTAGTTATTCTGGAAAATTTAATTTATCTAAAAATATGCAAAATAATTTTGTATTATTTATTAAATTATATGTATTGAAAAATATCCAGCTTTAATTATTTGAAATAGAATCTATTCTTACAGCATCTTTCCGCAGTTCTTTTCCGTACTCCAGTTTCTGTTGCCATTGCCGTTTACGCTCCTCCAAATTGGTTTGCTTGTCATACTCATCTTTCTTAAATCTCTGCATCATCTCCCAAGCTTTCAAATCCTTCTTTTCCTGTCTTTGTTTGATCCTTGCAGCTGCATCTTGAAGCTTATACTCTTCCATGAGAGCACGCATTGTTTCCTCTCGTTCCTTTTGTGCTTTCTGTTTTTCCGCTTCAATCTCTTCTTTCTCTTTCACAGCTTTCTCAAATATTTCTCGCTCTTTAATCTCATAAGAATGCTCAACCACGCCACATTGTTCCGCTGAAAAAAAGTTATTGTGAATTTATTCAAACGTAAATCTGTAACCAAAATTTGTTTCAGAAACATCGTCAAACCTATAATCTGCGCTTGGCGTATTTTTTCTTCCTTTTCTCGCAGTACTGTTGATTTATGAATTTCCTGTATTCGATCTTTAGCCTTCCGATAGATCTCCAACGCTCGATCTTCGAATTCTTCGTCATTCTTCAATTCCAGCTCGAATCGTTTTTTCTCCTCTATCGCTTCCTTAAAAAATTGCTGTAGTTTCTTCTTTTTGTTCAATATCTATAAACAAAATATATGTTACAATTTATAAAGATAGAATATATTCGGTGGATTTCAGTGCATACATCTTGCATTTCCTTCTCCTTCATAAGTTGCATATTTCGTGTCATATTTCTTTGATTTTGTTTTTCAGTCTCCAATTCCTCTTTTACTTTTAGCTTGTTGTTCCGTTCGTTCTCTTCGATCCTGATCAATACAAAGTTATCTCAACAATATTATCTTAATAATTTAAATATATTAATAATATATCTATATTTATATTACGCATTATTATTCCTATAAATATTTATAATCACATATTCTCACATTTTTATGTTAATATTCTTATTAATATTAATTTACTGTTTCTGTAATTCCGTTTTGTAATCCTTTATCTTCTTTGCTCGTTCTTCTGCTTCCTGCTTCTTCTGTTCTTCGTATTTCGCAACGTTTGTCTTAATCGTATTAGCATATTCCGCATCCTGCTCTTTATCCATCTCTCTAATGGTCTTTTGAAACGCCACTTGCTCATCCAGCTCTCTGAGACACTGATGAGATCACGGTTGGGTTATTTACTTTAAATTTAATTGATGGTGGGTCTGACTTAGAAATTATGTATACACTGGTTTCGTGAGAAAATACCTCGGAGGCGAAGAGAGAGCGATTAATTTGCCGACACATAGGTTTCTTCTGTAGAAGCAACTTTCTTGCCTGTTGCACCACTTCCGCACGCTCCATTGCCTTTTTCTCCGCTGTTTCCTTCACGAACATCTTCCTCTCTTCCTCAGCCTTTTGTCTCTTCGACAATAATTCTTCCTTTCGCCTCGCCTTAATATTCTGTTATCAAATCATTCTCGTCTCAACTGTCGGATAAGCTTTGAAAAAATTTTACAAATGCCTATCTAAAAATTTATTAATCTTATTCTTTTAGAAATTATATAAAAAATAAATATATTTTATTTTTGTTTTGTTCAATAATTGTATGTATTGCTTTGAAATAAAATATTTTTTATATACAATTGCAAAATTTGACTCTATTGTATTAATAATCGAACATACTTCAATTTTAGTATCCCATGTTTTACTTTTCTCATAAGTTGCTTTTTTTAGTGCTGCAATTTTCGCAGCCATCTTTTCTTGCTCTGCTGCTATCCTGTCTTCTTCAGTAGTATAATCCACAAACCGCTGAAAAGTGTTCTTCGGCAATATTAATGCCCGATTTCTTTCGGACGTCTGCGAAAAGCACGTTTAAATTTTTCATCAAATAAGACGCAAGAAATTCGATCTTTATATTGAGTTTTACAAGCTCAACACATTTGAATAATATAAAAGTACTCACATTTCGAGTATTTTCGAGAGTTTGTCCAGGTTTTAAGAGGTATGTTGTATGCATTTCTGGACGATGTAGCTTCTTTCGCACCATTAGAGAACAGATAATAGATAACGAATAAATTATATAATAGCTGTAAGACAAGCAAAGCAAAGTTTTCCGATACGAACAGTTTGAATTTTTTAGATAAACTGTGGAAAAATGGAAATCATGGTTAAATATCTATTTTGAGAAATTATTATGATAAAACATTAATAATACACATGCTGGCGTAAACAGCAATGCGACGTAATACACCGGTTCTAATGAATGCAACATAGCTACTTTCGCACAGCGGAATGGTTGACATAGAAACCAAATAAAAGCGATCAATGTGCTTTATGACATAATAAAAGAGACGAAAAGAAAACTGTTTTGTCGATACAAATGAGGACATAAAATAATAAAATATCAACCTTAGTTTTTGATAATAATTCTATTTGGTAAGATACAGTTATTATGTTACAGTTTTTATATGTTCAAAACGAAATAGATAATCAAGCGTTAGAAAAAGAGAGAAAGAAAGGAAAGAAAGTGCAAGATGTGTAGCTGCAAAAAACTAATCAATCAAATAGTTCCACTTAAGCATACTGCGTCTCGCTATTATTTACTTGTAATAATACTATTTAATTGTAATAATACAATTGTGCAAACTACATTTTCAATATTCAATATCAAGTATATCGAGCATTTATTTGAATTATAATTCCTATTTTTAAAAAAAACATGAAAAATTTTTATTGTTGCCTTTTTTCCACGATACTAATTGATTATCCCGATGTGCATTGTGTGTTATTTCGAGCGGTTGTCATTGAATACCTTGACGGTTCATATCTTGAGAAGATTGGTAGTTAAATTACATTTGAATAAAAGAGAAACCAAACGACATTGATCCTTTTATAATAAACAATTCTTGGGTGTAGTAAATAGTTCTTTGTACTTAAAAAAGTAAAAGGCGCGAATAATGCACGCTGGTGTGTCTAGTTTAATAAAATTATTTGTTACTTGCATACATTAACAGTTCATATCTTGAGAAGGTCAGTTAAATTACATTTAAAAGATATTTTCCTCATGAAACCTATTTTAATCCTTGCCTTTACTCAATATATCCTACATTATAAATAAACGTCAAAATTACATTTGTACGCAGACGAATAACTCAAATTGCGTTTTAACAAAAATATTCAAACATATAGAATATTAAATAATATTCATTTTAATAGTAGTATTTAAGATTAAATTTAAAGCATTAAAAACTGTTATTATTGAGCAAATAAGAATAGAATGATGTAATAAGACATTTAAACCAATAATTAATAATTTATTGCTACATAGGCAATATTGTTTGTGCATTATTTTTCACACAATCGTATATTCGTGTATATACAGAATGCGCTGTAACCTTCTATCGCTGTTATTACCTTACACACTTGATATGAGATGTTACCACGTCTTTTGAGAATTATTAGTTAGATGTTGTCCGACGTATCAATATTTACATTCACGTGAAAAATTATACGCCTTCTTTCGTCCTCTTTTATATTTTTCGGCAGAAAGGTTCTTGTATTATATTCAGTTAACCGCGTTCAATCATATCAAATAAACATAATGTCAGCAATGATTGTAACTAAAAAGCACATATGGCAATATTATATAAAACTGCTGAATTTTCAAGCACAGTGTAAGTTTTGCGAAAATGAATATAATTATATACAAAATAAAAACTTCAACACACATATAGCAAGAAAGCATCGAAAAATTTGGAAATACGAAGAAAAGAGAAAACTAAAATAGGCAATGGATAAATTTCAAGTATTCAAACAAATTATATTCACAATGTATTATCTGCGACGCAAATGTTTTGTCTACATTTGAATCTGTAGAAAATCACTTAAGTTTGCATTCTGAAGAACAACGGCATAATCAAAGACGTCAAGATTGGTCCCGAAAATATTGGACACAAAGAAGTGATTTTGAGATAGAGTGTAATATTTGTCATAAGAACTTAACTCTTCCTATACGTGATTATTTGGATCTTCATATAAAGAGAAGACATTCGAACAAATTAAAAAATACGCAAAAAACACATGACACAGTTGCTTCATCAGAACGCGTATTATCAGTTCGGACGAACACAACGTCTACGTCATTAACTATTGTAACTAAAAAAAATCTGTGGGAATATTATGTAAAACTGCCGGATCTTAAAGCACAATGCATGTTTTGCGAAATTAAATGTGGTTATACATATTACAAAAACGTTAAAACGCATGTAGCAAAATGTCATAGTAACATTTGGAAATGCGAAGAAGAAAGAAAACTAAATAAGCAATGGATATTTTTCAAGTATTCAGACAAATTATATTCACAATGTATTATCTGCGATGCAAATGTTTTGTCCACATCTGAATCTGTTGGAAATCACTTAAGTTTGCATTCTGAAGAACAACGGCCGAGTCAGAGATATCAAAATTGGTCTCGAAAATATTGGACACAAAGAAGTGATTTTGAGGTAGAATGTAATATTTGTTTCAAGAAATTATCTCTTTCTATTGCATGGACGTTGAATTATCATATAAAAGCGAAACATTCGAACAAATTGAAAAAGACGAAAGAAACACATGACACAATTGGTTCGCCAGAACGTGTTTTATCACTTCAAACGAACAAAACGTCTATGTCATTAATCATTGTAACTAAAAAAAATCTGTGGGAATATTATATAGAACTGCCGGATTTTTATGCACAGTGCGTGCTTTGCGAAAATATATATAGTTATATAAATTCTACTGACTTTAAAATACATATAGCAAAATGTCATAGCAATATTTGGAAATGCGAAGAAGAGAGAAAACTAAATTGGCTATGGATATATTTCAAGTATTAAAATGAATTATATTCGCAATGTATTATCTGCGATGCAAATGTTTTGTCTACATCTGAATTTGTAATAAATTACTTACGTTTGCATTCTGAACAACAACTGCAGAATTATATACTTCAAGATTGGCCACAGAAATATTGGACCCTTAGAAGTAATTTTGAGGTAGAGTGTGTTATTTGTAACAACAAATTATATCTTTCTCTTTCAAGTCATTTGGATTATCATATAAAAATGGAACATTGAATTGAAAAATACGGAAGAACAGACGACACAGTTGATTCATCAGAACGCATTTCATCACTTGAAACGGAACAGTGGGTATGTCACTGAAAGGTTTTTAACCTTGAAGAACAATCGGCATTTTTAAACTTTGGTAAGTTTGCATGGATTATTAAGAATACATTTCAAATATTTCAACTTATTGACGTGAAATGCATATTTATGATAAGAACGTTTTATTTTTATTTAAAGGTTTAGACGATTATTTACTTTGGCATTAAAAAAAACACATATTTTTCAGAATTGCTAATATGGGAGTACGTATATATCAAAAGTCATGATTTCAAAGTAGAGTGTAATAATTGTCATAGAAGCATAACTGTTGCTGTTAGAACTCATTTTAATGATCATGTTGAAGATGAACATCATTTGGCAAGTCAACTAAGCTGAATAAAAAAATGGCAGTAAGTTTTATTGTTATTAGTAAGTATAATTAATTTTTTATCTATTTCAAATTGCGTTTAATTTACTAAAAATATACAATATAATTATGACGCCAAAAATCAATTTATTTTTTATTTGTATATTACAATTGTCTATATAGATTTGTCCTTCCCCGAAAGTTGACAATGGGAACTTTATCGGCGTCTAAATAGTATCACTAGTTGCAATAATGGTAGTTTTAATTTTGACGATTTTATATCACTAAAAGATATATACAAGAAAAGTGACATATATAGCCCTGACGTATAATAATTTGTTTTATGTTTTTAAAATTATGAATATGATTATAAATCTAAGTTTTATAGGAAACAACATTTTTATAAATTATAACTATAATTATAAATTACGATATATATGTTTTTAATTTATAAACTATATTCTTAATTTTATTTACTGAAACAATTTAATGAAAGAATTATTGATTTCTTTGTAAAGAGAAAAATTCCGACAATTTATAATATATTTTTTTTCAAATTTTTATTTAATTTCTTATACATTTTCACACATGCTGAAATTGTTTTATGCACTTTCGTTATTTTTACTTCATTTTATTTTTACTTTATTTTTACTTTATATGAAACGAATTATTGTAACTTCTGTAAAAGTCTCCGAAATGTATTTTATTAATTATTGGTGAAATAAATGAATTGAAAAATGTTAAAATGTATTTGAAGAAATGTTTATGTAATACATGAATCATTCATCACAATGTACAAATAAATTCATCATAAGAGAGTATGTCATTCTTTTATTTGAAGATAGAATTATGTAGGAATTGTTTATTTCTGCGTCAGTCTTGTGGCATTTTGCATTAATTGTGTAACATTATACTTATGAAATGTTACAGATACTTAATGTATTTGAGATAATTGTTACAATATTTATAGTTCTTATAATTATTAATTTTTCCTAACGTAATTTAATTTTTATTATTATTTCAAATATTTTTAAATGTTTAAAGATGTTATTATTAATTGTATTATTGTTTTATTAAAAATTTGCTTTAAAGAATAAAAATTTCAATGCATGTAATAATTATTTTTTAAATACATATTATTTTGCGTAAAAAATCTGTAACGTAATTTTGTAATTTAAGTAAACTAGTAGTCTATTATATTTAAAATAAAAAGCAAACGACATTGATCCTTTTATAACAAACAATTTTTAGTTGGAGTAAATAGTTCTTTGTACCTAAAAAAGTAAATGGTGCAATAGTGCGCGCTGATGTGACTGATTTAATAAAATTATTTGTTAGTTGCATACTTTAACAGTTCATATCTTGAGAAGGTCAGTTAAATGGCATTTAAAAGTGATTTCTCTCATAAAATCTATCATAATTATTGTCTTCACTCAATCCTACAGTATTAAGCAACGTCAAAATTACTTTTGTTCGCAGACTGATAACTCGATCAAATTGCGTTTTAACAAAAAAATTTGAACATATAGAATATTAAATAATATTAATATTACTTTTAATACTAGTTTATAATATTAAATTTATGGCATTAAAAACTGTTGTTATTAAGCAAATAAGATTGGAATGCTGTAATACGAAACTTGAACCAATAATTAATAATTTATTTGTTACATAGGCAATATTATTTGAGCATTATTTCTCACATAATCGTATATTCGAGTATATATAGAATACAATGCCCCGTGTAGAAAATTTTATAAGGTTTTTATAAGGCTTTAGCTAATTGGTTTTAATATTAATCGCGCCCTATTAAGGTAAAATGAAAAGAACCTAAAAGGAAATGTAACACATGGTTTACAAGGCTCTTTTAAGAAGGAAAATATATCGAGTCCCGATTAAAATATTTTAATTTGTCAAAATTTTATTTTATTTTGAGGAAGATCTATCGAATCCTGATCAAAATATTTTTTCATAAAAGTCATAAGAGTTTATAGCGTTAGATAGTACAAAAATGCATCTATATAAATATTCAATCGCATTTATAAAATCAATATAAATATTAATTCAAACTTCAAGATGGATTAATGTTTATATTACTTTTGCAAAAGCAACTGAATGCTAATAGATTTTCGCATGACTATCTAGCACTGGTACTAGTTAACTTTTACGATCGTAATTATGATTATTACGTATTATTACGATGTAATTGCATATATCAGAAGAGCCATCTTATATTACACTCTAAAAAGTAAATTGGAGGATACGTTTTGATTTAAGACTTTTTTTCAAAACAAGCATTTAATAATGAAAGATTTTCCAAATTTAAACATTTTAGTGCTTTAAATCTAAATAACCTGGTGTTTAAAATATTCGAAAACGTTCAAAAATGTTTATTGTTTTTCTTCAAACGGAAAAAGGTGTTTTACTATGATAATTAAACGTTTACTTTCTCCACACGCCGAAAAACACAACACCTTACTGAAATTAAACGTTTATTAAAGTAAAACGTTTTTTTCAAGACGTTATATTCTGATGAACTGTGAAGTGCATTGAGAGACGTTGCTAAGGACGACCAGAATTGAAGTTTGAAGATTTTATCATTATGACATAATAGTAAAATTTTTCGAAAAAGAGGGAAACTTAGCAAATTTTATTTGTGCCGATAATATTATAAAAATAAAAATTGACAATCCAACTGCTGCCAAATCCACTCTTTGTTTGTTGAAATGTTATTATGCGTGGGACTGCCATTATCCAACAAATTACAAGACGGTGCTGGATTTCTTTGATAAAGAATTGTTGAACAAAATTATATACAATTATATACAATATATATACAATATACAATATAATTATATACAATAATCAAAAGTTTTCCAAATTTTGGATCTCATGTGTTGTTTGTAAACTTGAAAAATTAAGTAATATAATAGAAGAGCATTTAAGAGCCGCCGCAGGATGTTAGTGCAAAATCTTTAATTTTTTTTAAAGAAATTGATTAATCAGTCTACATGAGACAGTTAAATTGTACACCGATCTCAGAACGAGATACTTAAAGTGTACGAAAATTTAAGTACCTTGTCCGCACATATGAAGAATCGTAATGTACTAATAGGAATTATTGCAAAAAAAGGAAGAAAGAAAAAATATCAAGGCGCGAGTGGCTAAAGGACCCGAAAATTGAACCCGGGTCTTCCGCTTGCCGGGCGAATGTTCTGACCACTAAACTACTCAGACCTCACGCTTCTAACATTTATCTTTCAATAGATTAGGAAATAAACAATTCTGTAGGACATAATGCAAATTTTCGTACACTTTAAGTATCTCGATCTGAGATCGGTGTACAATTTAGCAGTCTCATGTAGACTAATTAATCAATTTCTTTAAGAAAAATTAAAAATTTTGCACCAACATCCTGCGACGGCTCTTAAATGCACTTCTATTATATTACTTGATTGTTACCATATGAGCCTTTTCATTATATATGTTAAAAAATTAAATTAAAACATTAAATTAATTAAATAAATTAAATAAACGGTTTTTGGCGCTTTTTTTAAAACTTTAAAATTCGAAAAAGTGTTTTATTCGACAACATCTTTATATGTTTCCGAATAAAACACTTTTCAAAATTAAACACTTTTTAACGTTTCGCATGTCCATTTAAAAATTAAACACTTTTGAGCGTTTCAAAAATGAAGACAAGAAATAAAACACTTTAATATTTTAAATTTAAACACTTTCTTTTATGAGTATATTATATATGGTTAATATCATTTTTTATATTTCATTTTTTATGTATAAAAATTGATTTTTAATAATTTTCTAATGTAATGTAAAAATAGAACAAAATTTCTATAATAAATTGTTTCAGTGCACTTATAGTAATACTTGATTTTAATAAAATCTCGAGTATTAAGTCTTATAATATAATTAAAATATATTAATAATTCCTTTTAAAATCCTAATAAGCATTATTGAATTCTTATTTTTCTCAAATATTGTATCCTTAAGAAATACTTTTTGGGTCCTAGTAAGTTAGCCTTATTAAAATATGTATATATGCAGTTAAGGCGTCCTCATGAAACACTAATAAAGCCCAAATCATCTAATAGTAAAGCAACCGGTTTTAGTGTATTCTTAATATGTACTTATCGGAGCATCCAGTTTTTTAAGAAAATCCTTAATAATTTTCTACACAGGATATCCTTTCGCTGTTATCATCTTACATCTTGCCATGAGATGTCACCGCGTGTTGTGAAAATTATTAGTTAGATTTGGCCGACGTATCGATATTTACATTCAAATGGAAAATAATACGCCTTCGTCCTCTTTTATACTTTCGACAGAGAGGTTCTCGTATCATATTCAGTTACACGCGGTCAATCATTTCAGATGGACATAATGTCAGCAAGCTGTGAAACTAAAAAGTCTATATGGCAATATTATAAAAAACCGCCGAATTTTCAGGCACAGTGTCAGTTTTGCAATAATGAATATAATTATATAAAAAACACAAACTTCGAAACACATATAGCAAGAAAGCATCGAAAAATTTGGAAATACGAAGAAGAGAGAAAACTAAAATGGCCATGGATAAATTTCAAGTATTCAAACAAATTATATTCACAATGTATTATCTGCGATGCAAATGTTTTGTCTACATCAGAATTTGTAGAAAATCATTTAAGTTTGCATTCTGAAGAACAACGGCATAATCATAGACGTCAAGATTGGTCCCGAAAATATTGGACACAAAGAAGTGATTTTGAGATAGAGTGTAATATTTGTCACAAGAACTTAACTCTTTCTATACGTAATAATTTGGATCTTCATATAAGAAGGAGACATTCGGACAAATTGAAAAAGACGAAAGAAACACATGACACAGTTGGTTCGCCAGAACGTGTTTTATCACTTCAAACGGACACAACGACTATGTCATTAACTGTTGTAACAAAAAAGAATCTGTGGGAATATTATGTAGAACTGTCCAATTTTTATGCACAGTGCATGTTTTGCGAAAATATATATAATTATATAAATTTTATTAACTTTATAACCCATATAGCAAAATGTCATAGTAATATTTGGAAATGCGAAAAAAAAAGAAAACTTAATAAGCAATGGATATATTTTAAGTATTCAAACGAATTATATTCACAATGTATTATCTGCGATGCAAATATTTTGTCTACATCAGAATCTGTAGAAAATCACTTAAGTTTGCATTCTGAAGAACAACGGCATAATCATAGACGTCAACATTGGTCCCGAAAATATTGGACGCAAAGAAGTGATTTTGAGGTAGAATGTAATATTTGTAACAAACAATTATCTCTTTCTGCTGCAAGTATTTTGAATTATCATATAAAAGAGAAACATTCCGACAAATTAAAAAATACGAAAGAAACACATGACACAGTTGGTTCGCTAGAACGCGTTTTATCACTTCAAACGGACACAACGTCTATGTCATTAACTATTGTAACTAAAAAGAATCTATGGGATTATTATGTAAAACTGCCGAATTTTAATGCACAGTGCATGTTTTGCGAAAATATATATATTTATATAAATGATACTCACTTTAAAACACATATAGCAAAATATCATAGCAACATTTGGAAATGCGAAAAAAAAAGAAAATTAAATAAGCAATGGATAAATTTTAAGTATTTAAACGAATTATATTCACAATGTATTATCTGCGATGCAAATGTTTTGTCTACATCTGAATCTTTAGAAAATCATTTAAGTTTGCATTCTGAAGAACAACGGCCGAATCATAGAAGTCAAGATTGGTCTCGAAAATATTGGACACAAAGAACTGATTTTGAGGTAGAATGTAAAATTTGTCACAAGAACTTAACTCTTTTTATATGTAATTATTTGGATCTTCATATAAGAAGGAGACATTCGGATAAATTGAAAGATACGCAAGAAACACATGACACAGTTCGTTCCTCAGAACGCGTTTCATCATTTCAAACGGACACAACGTCTATGTCATTAACTATTGTAACTAAAAAGAATCTGTGGGACTATTATGTAGAACTGCCGGATTTTAATGCACAGTGCATGTTTTGCAAAAATATATATAGTTATATAAATTTTACTGACTTTAAAATACATATAGCAAAATGTCATAGTAGTATTTGGAAATGTGAAGAAGAGAGAAAACTAAATTTGCTATGGATATATTTCAAGTATTTAAATGAATTATATTCGCAATGTATTATCTGCGATGCAAATGTTTTGACTACATCTGAATCTGTAGTAAATCACTTAAGTTTGCATTCTGATGAACAACTGCAAAATTATATACTTCAAGATTGGCCACAAAAATATTGGACCCTAAGAAGTAATTTAAGGTAGAGTGTGATATTTGTAACAACAAATTATCTCTTTCTCTTCCAAGTTATTTGGATTATCATATAAAAATGGAACATTGAATTGAAACATTCGCAAGGACACACGACACAGTTGATTTGTTAGAACGCTTTCTATAACTTGAAACGGAACAGTGTGCATGTCACTAATAGATTTTTAATTTTGAAGAAATATTGGTATTTTTAAACTCTGGTAAGTTTACATGAATCACAAAGAATATATTTTAAATATTTCAACTCATTTGCTTGAAATGCATTATTTATGACAGGAACGTTTTATTTTTATCTGGAAGTTTAGGAGATCACTTACGCTCGCATTTAAAAAACAACATTTTTCAGGATTGCTTTTGTGGAAGTACGTACATACGTAAGAGTCATGATTTCGAAGTAGAGTGTAATATTTGTCACAGAAGCACATTTGTTGCTGTCAGAACTTATTTCAATGACCATATTAAAGACGAACATTATTTGGCAAGCTAACTAAGTTGAATAAAAGAATGGCAGTAAGTTTTATTGTTAATTAGTATATTTAATTTTTTATTTATTCCAAATTGCACTTAATTTATTAAAAATATATGATATAATAATTCCACCAAAAATCAGACAATTTATTTTTTATTTATATGTGAATATTATAATTGTCTATATAGATTTCTCTTCCTCTGAAAGTTGACAATGGGATCGATGTTAACGGCGTCTATATAGTATTACTATCTGCAACTAAGGTAGTCTTATGTTTGACGATTTTAGATCACTAAAAGATATATTCAAGAATAGTGGCATATATAGCCATGACGAATGATTATTAGTTTTATGTCTATAAAATTATGAATATGATTATAAATGTAGGTTTTATAGAAAACATCATTATGTAAATTATAAATATAATTATCAAATTATAAAATTATAACTATAATTATAACTATAATTCCATTATGTATGTATGTTCTAAATTTATGTATTTTATTCTTAATTTTATTTTCTGAAACGATTTAATGAAATAATCGAATTAAAGAAATAATCATTGACTTCTCCGTAAAGAGAAAAATACCGACAATTTAAACTATTATTTTATTAAAAATACTTAATTTTGATATAATTTTTTATATATTTTTTCTCATGTTTATAATCTTTTTTTTATATACTTTCGTTCTTTTTTGTACTTTATATAAAACTAATTATTATAACATCTGTAAAAATCTCTAAAATGTATTATATTAATTGTTGGTCAAATAGATCAATTGAAAAATGTTAAAATTTTAAAATTATTTAAAATGTTACAATTATTTCAAGAAATCTTTATGTAATACATGAGGCATTTATCATTATGTACAAATAAATTCATCATAAAAAAATATGTCATTTTATTATTTAAACGTAGGATATTGTAGGAATTGTTCATTCTTGCGTAAGTCCCGTGGCATTTTGCATCAATTGAGTAACATTATATTTATGAAATGTTTTAGATACTTAGCGTATTTGAAATAATTGTTACAATATTTTTAGTTATTATAACTATTAATTATTCCTAACGTAATTTAATTTTGGTTATTATTTCAAATATTTTTAAATGTTTAAAAATGTTATTATTAATTACATAAATGTTTTATTAAAAATTTGCTTTAAAGAATAGAAACTTCAAAGCTTGCAATAATTATTTTTAAATCTAAATTATTTTATGTAGCAAATCTGTAACGTAGTTTTGTAATTTAGATTAGTGGTCTATTACGTTTAAAAGAAAAATCAAATGACGTAGATCTTTTTATAATAAATAATTCTTTGTAACTAAAAAAGTAAATAGCGCAAATATTATTATGCGCGTTATTACAAAACTACGTTACAGATTTGCTACATAAAATAATTTAGATTTAAAAATAATTATCAAGCTTTGAAGTTTTTATTCTTTAAAGCAAATTTTTAATGAAACATTTATGTAATTAATAATAACATTTTTAAACATTTAAAAATATTTGAAATAATAACCGCGCTGATATGACTCATTTAATAAAATTACTTGTTAGTTGCATATTTTAATAGTTCACATCTTGAGAAGGTCAGTTAAATTACACTCAAAAGAGATTTCTCTCATGAAACCTATCATAATCTTTCCTTCACTCAATATGCAGGGTGATTCAAAATAACCTGATGTTCTTGCAATGCCATATTCTTCGCTAAATTTTGAGACGATTTTTCTTTTTACAAATTTTTGTCCGAAGCTTAGTTTTCGAATTATAATTGAAAATAGGTACTTACGAGTTCAATACAACGGGCAGGCAGGAACGCGCAACGTATAATGAGACTGTCAAGTGTTTATTATCGTCTCATTACGAATTGCACCGTCCCTACCTGTCCGTTGCAACTGACTCGTAAGTTGCTACCTATTTTCTTCACTTTATTTTTCTATTTTAATTATTACTCGAAAACTAAGTTTCGTACAAAATTTTGTAAAAAGAAAAATCGTCTCAGAATTCGTTCAAGAATATGGCATTGCAAGGACATCAAGTTATTTTGAACCATCCTGTATCTCACATTACTAAGAATCCAAAATTATTTTTGTACGTAGACGAATAACTCGATTAAATTGCGTTTTAACAAACGTATTCAAACATATAAAATATTTAATAATAATTATTGTAATGATAGATTTTAAGATTAAATGTATAGCATTAAAAACTGTTATTATTGAGCAAATAAGAATAGAATGATGTAATAGGAAACTTTAACCAATAATTAATAATTTATTTGTTACATAGGCAATATTGTTTGTGCATTATTTCTCACACAATCGTATATTCGTGTATATGCAGAATGCACTGTAACATTCTTTCGCTGTTATTATCTTAAATACTTGACATGAGATGTTACCACGTGTTTTGAGAATTATTAGTTAGATTTGGCCGACGTATCAATATTTACATTTAAGTGGAAAAAAATACGCCTTCGTCCTCTTTTATACTTTCGACAGAGAGGTTCTCGTATCATATTCAGTTACACGCGGTCAATCATTTCAAATGGACATAATGTCAGCAAGCTGTAGAACTAAAAAGTCTATATGGCAATATTATACAAAACTGCCGAATTTTCAGGCACAGTGTCAGTTTTGCAAAAATGAATATAATTATATAAAAAACACAAACTTCGAAACACATATAGCAAGAAAGCATCAAAAAATTTGGAAATACGAAAAAGAGAGAAAACGAAAATGGCCATGGATATATTTCAAGTATTCAAACAAATTATATTCACAATGTATTATCTGCGACGCAAATGTTTTGTCTACATCTGAATCTGTAGAAAATCATTTAAGTTTGCATTCTGAAGAACAACGGCATAATCATAGACGTCAAGATTGGTCCCGAAAATATTGGACACAAAGAAGTGATTTTGAGATAGAGTGTAATATTTGTCACAAGAACTTAACTCTTCCTATACGTAATAATTTGGATCTTCATATAAGAAGGAGACATTCGGACAAATTGAAAAAGACGAAAGAAACACATGACACAGTTGGTTCGCCAGAACGTGTTTTATCACTTCAAACGGACACAACAACTATGTCATTAACTGTTGTAACAAAAAAGAATCTGTGGGAATATTATGTAGAACTGTCCGATTTTCATGCACAGTGCATGTTTTGCGAAAATATATATAGTTATATAAAATCTACTAACTTTGGAACACATATAGCAAAATGTCATAGTAATATTTGGAAATACGAAGAAAAAAGAAAATTAAATAAGCAATGGATATATTTTAAGTATTCAAACGAATTATATTCACAATGTATTATCTGCGATGCAAATGTTTTGTCTACATCTGAATCTGTAGGAAATCATTTAAGTTTGCATTCTGAAGAACAACATAATCATAGACGTCAAAATTGGACCCGAAAATATTGGACACAAAGATGTGATTTTGAAGTAGAATGTACCATTTGTAACAAAAAATTTTCTCTTTCTATTGAAAGTATTTTGAATTATCATATAAAAGCGGAACATTCGAACAAATTGAAAAAGACGAAAGAAACACATAACACAGTTGGTTCGCCAGAACGTGTTTTATCACTTCAAACAGACACAACGACTATGTCATTAACTATTGTAACAAAAAAGAATCTGTGGGAGTATTATGTACAACTGCCGGATTTTAATGCACAGTGCATGTTTTGCGAAAATATATATAGTTATATAAATTCTACTGACTTTGAAATACATATAGCAAAATGTCATAGCATAATTTGGAAATGCGAAGAAGAGAGGAAACTAAATTGGTTATGGAGATATTTCAAGTATTCAAATAAATTATATTCACAATGTATTATCTGCTATGCAATTGTTTTGTCTACATCTGAATCTGTAGGAAATCACTTAAGTTTGCATTCTGAAGAACATCGGCAGAATCATAGAGTTCAAAATTGGCCACAAAAATATTGGTCACGAAGAAGTGATTTTGAGGTAATGTGTAATATTTGTAACAATAAATTATCTCTTTCTCTTCCAAGTCATCTGGATTATCATAAAAAAATGGAACATTGAATTGAAAAATTTGCGAGGACACACGACACAGTTGATTTGTTAGAACGTTTTTTATAACTTTAAACGGAACAGTGTGCATGTCACTAATAAATTTTTAATTTTGAAGAAAAATTGGTATTTTTAAACTCTGGTAAGTTTACATGCATCATAAAGAATATATTTTAAATATTTCAACTCATTTGCGTGAAATGCATTATTTATGACAGGAACGTTTTATTTTTATCTGGAAGTTTAGGAGATCACTTACGCTCGCATTTAAAAAAGAACATTTTTCAGTATTGCTTATGTGGAAGACCGTACATACCAAAAGTCATGATTTCGAAGTAGAGTGTAATATTTGTCACAGAAGCACATCTGTTGCTGTCAGAACTTATTTCAATGACCATATTGAAGACAAACATCATTTGGCAAGCTAACTAAGCTGAATAAAAGAATGGCAGTAAGTTTTATTGTTATTAATTAGTATATTTAATTATTTTTTTATTTCAAATCGCGCTTGATTTTTCAAAAATATATGATATAATAATTCCACCAAAAATCAGACAATTTATTTTTTATTTATATGTGAATATTATAATTGTCTATATAGATTTCTTTTCCTCTGAAAGTTGACATGGGATCGATGTTAGCGGCGTCTATATAGTATTACTATCTGCAACAATGATAGTCTTAATTTTGACGATTTTAGATCACTAAAAGATATATACAAGAATAGTGGCCATGACGAATGATTATTTGTTTTATGTCTATAAAATTATGAATATAATTATAAATGTAGGTCTTACAGAAAACATCATTATGTAAATTATAACTATAATTATAAATTACAATATGTTTGTTTTAAATTTATTATCTATATTTTTAATTTTATTTACTGAAACAATTTAATGAAATAATCATTGATGTATTTCTATGTAAAGGGATAAATACTGACAATTTATATATTATAATTTTATTTTAAATATTTAATTTTTATATAATTTTTTATGTACTTTTACTCGTATTTATATTATTTTTTTTATATACTTTTGTTTTTTTTAATTTTTTATAAAATTAATTATTATAATATCCGTAAAAGTTTCCGTAATGTATTAAATTAATTGTCGGTGAAATAGTTAAATTGAAAAATGTTAAAATTTGTTTAAGAAATGTTTATGTAATATATGAGGCAGTCATTATAATGTACAAATAAATTCATTTTAAAAGAGTTTGTATTTTATTATTTGAAGATAGTATATTGTAGGAATTGTTTATTCTTGCGTCAATTAAGTGGCATTTTGCATTAATTGTGTAACATTATACTTATAAAATGTTACAGATATTTAACGCATTAAGGATAATTATTACAATATTTATAATTTTTATATTTATTATTTATTTTTAACGTAATTTAATTTTAAATATTATTTCAAATATTTAAACAATTTTTAAGGTTTTATTATTAATTACATAATTGTTTTATGAAAAATTTGTTTTAAAGAATAAAAACTTTAATGTTTGTAATAATAATTTTTTAAATATAAATTATTTTGCGTAGCAAATCTGTGACGTAATTTTGTAGTTTAGATTAGAAGTCTATTACAATTAAAAGAGAAATCAAACAATGTAGATTTGTTTGGTTAAACATTAAATTTTACGTTTGATATAAATGGTTTGCGGTAAGTGCAAGTGATTTTTGGTGTTTTATAGAAGATATTCAAAATGTCTGTTTTAAATCTTGATATATTTCTGAATACTTGTTTAAATACTTTCTGGATTTTGTCAAAGATGTAACTTTATTGCTTTAATATAAATGTTTGCTCAAAGTGCAGTGCAATTATTTATTTTCGAATTATTCTATACTATACATTTTATGTAATAATCTAATCACAAAAGGTTATTAATTTTTTTACACATTTTTACTCGTGAATAACAGAACTCGTGTTGAATAACGCTGTATATAGTGTATAATTGTGACAATAATAGTAGTTTTATAACATATAAGTAATATTATTTTATATTATTATTTTTATTAAAGGTATTGTTATAATATATATTTCTTCGTAACTAAAGAAATATATAGTGCGCGTAGCGCTGTCTAGTATAACATATTAAATCTCTGAGTTTGCTTTCGTCAAACATTTTGATATACGTTTCAGATACAATGTTCGTATTATCAAATTGGCGTATTCCGATAATGCAAATGTAGTACGAATTTTTAATACAAATATAACACGCTTGCTATGATATGCGCAAACGATCAGCATATGCTGCCGGCTTATCTCATATATCTTTGTTATTTTGTTTTGGAAATTATTTATTTCGTTTAGCAAAGTGAGATATAGTGATTATTCACAATTGTTCCTAGATTGAATTCGAATTCTTTATACATATATGTAGATTTCCATACACACATATGTAAATAATTGATCCTTATTCTTCAAGGATAATGGCGGATATCACATATAACCTTGTAAATTCTTTATTGCTGCTTTTATCACACGAGTGAAACTTGATATTTTTTATACAACAGATTTCTGCGTTACTCGCTGCAGAATCGGCATTATCGACGTCGCGCGCGCTAGTGCAACGCGACAGTTTCGCGAATGCGACGCAAGATGACGGCGGAGCGTGGTCGTGCACCTGTAGTGACAACACGTGTTACAGCTGAGTGGCGGTTTGGTTATCCGAAAAAGTGAGTATAGTATCAGAGTGAATTTTCGTAACGTTTTTCTCGGTTGCCGTTCGCCCTAGGTTTCGAGGAACGTCCGACGTGCGTAGGAACGTCGACGTATTACGCCGAAGTGCGCTGCTATTTACACGACGGCAGCATGTGTCGTCATTACTTCACCATAATATCCCGAGGGAAACACTTAACCTTGACTGTCGCCTTTCGCGATAATCAATAACAATTATTGATGGCCGTGCTGCGTCTCGCGAATGTGTTACAAAGTGTATGCGCTCATGTGATTATGCCAAACAACAATCTCGATCGAATATTGACTCGATCGAATGTCAAGTCGATTCGATCCCGGCGACGCTAACCTAAATCTTGCTGCGACGTCGCGAGCATCGGTGTACCCGATGTATAAATCTGTTCAGTTACAACGAATCGCTGGATTATCGTTTCTCGGAGCTATCGATGATTTGGATTCTCGCGAATTTATTCAAAGTTAACGGCTTTCACACGCTCGTTTTGCGTTATTGCAAAGGCATCGCCGTAGGTAACCTTCGTTTCCCGTCGGTTTGTTTTGCTTCGTTTGCCGCGCTTTTGGGGTACGCGTGTAAATTTTGGCGCCCGCGCAGCGTCGCGTAGTAACGTGGAGCAACTAGGGAGACGAAATCGATATATGGATATTGCCACAGTAGAATCGTGTTGAGTTTGAATTGTACTTGAATCGCGCTAAAGAGAATCAAAGTACTTAATCCTTTATGCTTCTATGAATGTGTCTCTCGCAACAAACACATATTGAAAGCTTGATTCATGTCGGACGATGGAGTGCAATCATGCGTTATAATATCGTGTCACGGTGCTTCAAAACTTCCGTTGATACGGCTGGGTTTGCGATTGATTGCCCTACCACACGGAAGTTTCGAATTCCACTAGATCAGATTTCAAATTCCGCATCGCGATTACAATCTGATTCAGATTGTGAACTCATACGTTTCGGCTTAAGGTAACATGTATTTCGAGAATAATTTGAGGTTATAAAATTTAAAATGTAACGCGTAGAAATAATTTTGCCGATTTTTGTATAATTTATAAAAGCTTGCATTGAAATACCTTTTGTGTTTTTAAATAATTGAATATTGTGTTTTATTAGAATTAGATACTTTTATAATAATTCAGTGCGAATAAAATGATAAATGTCATATATCGGATGTCATTTTCTACATCATCGTTTTTGATATCGCGTTTGCAGCGCGATTTTATGCGAAAACGTGAGAAAAAAGCGATCACGAATTAATTAGCGCAACATTATATCCGATTATTTGTGATATTTCTGGTGAAATTTCCATCTCGATTTTTCAGTCTTGACATTTCGCGTAAATTTACTTTTATTAAAATTTCCGATTGTTGATATCAATAAATTTACACGTAAGCGATGTGGTGTCGTGGTTAATAAAGTGCCACAAAGCAATAGATTGCATTCTCGCTTCAATATCTCTTTTATATCGGAAAATTACTTTAACCGCGATGTTTACTGGCTCATGAGTGTGCTGAAGTGAGTAATAATTAGGAATTTTTAAATGCGTATCCAAGCATATCAGAACGAAGCGGCGCGTGCGATATCAAACCTTCGTATTCAGCACATTTTCTCGATTGTTATACGAGAAAAATAATATTTGAATTTTATTTATTTTTTTAAATTTATATAATTGTATCGCAATAAATTGTGTGGACACGAAGGATTAAATATCGAGATGATTAATGCATGTGGTATTTATTTTCAGGTGATAGTGATCGGTAGGGAAGGAATGAGCTGCAGGGATTCCCGGAAGGTGCATTAGGGTGAGTACGTTTTCAAATATTTGCTTAATCTTAATTGGTAGATTAAGACCGCGTTGGTTGAAATACTTGTATTTTAATGTCGAATTCGAAGAAACAATTAAAATACCATTTCTTCGAAGCTTTTTTAAAGATTTACTGAACTGATGGAATACCGAATTGATAATCTGACGCTTATACTTTAAAACATATGTGGGATTTTGAAGCTTGATAATTGACGCTTGAGGCTTTATTTACAAATCTTATCTTTGCAGAAATATCTTTAGGAAACTAAATATTCTCCATATTTTAATAACTTGAATTAATACAATATGAATTAATACTCGAACAGTACAATTTTTGCACGTTGCAAGTATTAATAAGCATAAATATTACAAACGAATATATTCATTAAAAAATTAATTAGCAAAAGTGATTTTCAATTTGCAATTCAAGTAATACAACGGAAATATTTATATTATTTAAAAACTTAAATCAATCTTAATCTAAGTTATTGGGTAGGTCATTAGCTGTGTATAAAATGACACTGTATATATATTGCTGATATGAAACATGTTTATTAAAAATCTATCGCTCTCTACGTCTACTACAGTAAATATCACAGGTACACGTTTCTCTATCACAAAATGCTCTGCTCGGTCATTCGTACAATGTATCCGCATCGTGCGTTGTATCTCTTCAGAAATCACCGAAATTGTCTCGCCTTGAGAGATCATCTGTTGTCATTCGTTCTGTATCCGACCGACGGAGAGACTCGTACAACAACGTTATATCGGCGAGATAATAAAAAAGAAAACATCCTCTCGATAAAAGTATGAAATAAACAATAGAAAACATCTAACTGTCGAGTAAATTAAAGCTTCAGCCGTACGCGTGGCCGCGAGAGAAAACTACGCATCGAGATCCCAATGTCTCTTCCCTCCCCCTTCTTCTGCTCCGATTTCTGCGGAACGTTGTTGAAGATGTTGGTGTGCGAGGATGTTAGAACGCGCCGGAGACAACAATTCGTGTGACGGTGTGTCGATTCGAGTGCATTCTTAAGCAAGTGAGACTGCTTCCGAGTCCTAGGGTTGATCCTCGCGCCGCGCAGCAGCAGATTCAGCCTCCTTCTTCTTGCGGTGCTCTTAGTCGCGGCGTTCGTTCCGTTCAGATCACAGACGAGATTGCAACACCGGCGTCCAGACGCCCTTCCCCCCTCCCCCTCCCCCCCCTGATTGCTTCGAATAATGCTTTGGGGAATCTCGCCTTTTGCCGGTTACTTCACCATAGCCACATCAAATGGCCGTTCACCAGGGTCGCCAGATAAGCTCGTTAGGCTTGGCCACCTGCAGGAGGCCCTGGTGGCTCTGGGAGACGGTGTCGATGTCGGTTCGCACCGGGGATGGCTGGCTGGACGCCGGTGTCAGCGGCATCGAGTACTCGTCGGAGCTCAACTCGCTGCTGGACAACGAAGACGGCGAGGGCTGCGACGCTGTTACGTGGATCGTCAACGGGCCGGTCTTGTCCATCGAGTTGAGTTTGTGTCCGAGGTGCGTCATCAGTTTCGTGCCGAGAGCGACGTCGACGCCCGGTGTCGCGGCTAGGCAGCGGCTGACTTCGTTCGCGCAGTGCGTGTAGCCGGCGCGGAAGCGATCGGCGTCGATCACCGGATTCGCCGAGAGACGCTGCTGGCGCTGGAGTTTGTGCAAGTGGCGCACCGTGAGCTCCAGGATGTCGGCTTTCTCCAACTTGGCCACATTCTCGCCGTCACCGGCCAGCGCGGTCACCATCAGGTCTTTCAGCTCGTCGAGGCAGCGGTTGATGCGTGCTCGGCGTTTGCGTTCCAACATCGGTTTCATCACCTGCGAATCGAGAGAGAAACGGAATCGTTATAATTGACGCTCGTGAAATTGGCGAGAAGGATAGTTTCACGCGTTTCGAAAACTTTCGAGGCCGGAGGCTAATTCGAGTTAATTGCCGCGGAGCGAAAATCGATCCGAAGTTAGCGCGGTGATTGGAATGGCGCGACGATAAGATATCGAGGTGACACGTACCTTCCGATATTGATAGGTCCTGGAAATCGGCTGCTCCTGCCCCTCGACCATGATGATCTGCTCGTGCATCTGCATGGTTAATCCTTTTTTTTTTTTCCTTTCGCGATGGGCGACACTGAAGAACTTTGCAAGAACTTCACTAAGATAACTGGCTTATCGCGAACGCGCTCTTATCGGACCGGGTTCGTCGAACTTGAGAAACGACCTCGCTGCGATTGCGTCGTCGTTGTCGTCACTGCGAGCTCACTGGCGGAAGGAAACACTGCGGTGTTAGCTGAGCTGACACACGTAGGTCTCCAGGCACGGGTCCTCGAGTGAACACGAACGGAGCGTGATTGTAGTCGCGTTCGGGCGAGGCTGCTCCTTATATAGGCACGGGCCTGCGCGCGGACGGGAGGGAAACACGCTCTGCGGGGCCGCGCGGTGGGGAACAGGCCTTCCGTGGGAACGGTCCGTAGAGGTTGGTTCCCAAGCCAAGCACACCACCTGTAAGCGGCAGCTGCCAGACACGCGCCCACACCAAAGCCATCGTCACCGATTCCTTGCGTCCTTGTTGCACCTAGTCGCGGCGGCGCGGCGCGGAGTGCGATGCTCCCTACCTCTCTCGGCCGATCGTCGACGAGTGGTCGTGCCGCGGTATGCACGGCTCGTAATCGTTCTTCCTCTCTTTCTCTCTTCCGCTCTATCCTTCGTCTTCTCGTTCCCTCCGCCGTTCCTTCGTCTTCTCTCTTTCTTCCTCCTTAGACGGCTTCTCCGTCCTCCTTCCTCGCTCATCGTCGCGTATTTCTACAAGCGCTCGTGTAAAAGGACTAGATCTCGACCGACATCCTTCTCTCTTTGTCTCGGGGTAAAATAGAGAGGCTTCCTCCGTCCCGCCTGTAAGGTGCAGCTTTTTCCACCAACCCGGCAGCTTCCATGCTCGTGCTGGATCTTCTTATCGAGATTCCGCGCCTCTTCCCTCTCCTCTCTTTCTCTTTCTCTTTCGCTCGCTCCTCGCTTCTGGTTCTCCCGCTTCGCCGACTGTGGAGCGTGCTGGGCACAAGTCCGGCGCGACTCCGGCTCGTGATTGCAATCCCACCGACTACACGGTGCTGTGAATCGCGCGTCTGTGTATGAATGCGTGTATATGTTCCGTCCGGTCCGGCCACTGTCGCGGAATTAGTATTGCGACCCTCGGTGGCGCGATTGATCGATCGTTTTACGCATATTAACACGGACAAGGGGGGAGGCAGGTGAAAGGGAATCGCGGATGAGCTCGGTAAAGTTCGTCGCTGCAGAGGGATATGACAAATCGGTTGTCAGGCCGTTCGGTCGTGTACCGGAGCGATTAATTAATTGCACCCCGGCGCCGGTTTCTGCCTTCGTTTCCGAGCGATAGCGCACTTCTGCGAATATCTGCGTCGTCAGTGAATGGGATTGGTGAGCGAATAGGGACTTGATATAATAACCCGCTCGTTAACTCGCCGCGCTTTATCTCGCCGACTATTGCTGGGAAATAATTAGTCTTATGTTCCATGCTTGTATAATTATTCAAGAATGTAGATTGTTAATTTAAGATTAATTCGGAGGGGAGGAGAGGCCTGTTATTTCATTTATCCGTTCTTAATACATGACAGTTCAATGCTGCGTTTATTGCGAGCCCTGTTTCACTTTCGCGATACGTTATTTAGAAAATTATAAAAAAGGCGAACTACAGAAAAAATCAGTAATCAGTTAATATTTTTTTTCATCTATTTCTGGCATGTAATTGATTCCGCGAATTCGAGAAATTTTACTTACAAAATATGCAATTTTGACGGTAACAAAAAGATTACGACTTGCAGGCGGAGAATACGCGAACGGTTAAATTTCTTCGCGTTTTCAGTTTTATTGTTAATACGCTATCCGTGAATTCCTCGGGTGGCGGCCACGATATTTGGGACCTCGATTACGCGTAATTATCGGGTGTGCACCGATAGCAATTACAAGAAGCTAATGAGCAAAAAGGTCTCGCGTGTATATTCAAAAGCGTCCTTCTGGCGCGCGCGAGACAGTTTCTCGTCCGTGCTCCGCTTGGGTAATCCTATCGTTCAAACGGGCGAAAATTGGGCTCCGAAAGTGGGCCTGCGCTTAGCTGGCGCGGCTTTAATTTCGCGGAGATGCTCGTAAAATCGTCCTCCGGCTTCGGATAGTCATAGCGCGAAACGAGTATCCCGGGCGCGCGTCTCTTCCGCGCGCACTTCGAGATACCAATTTCGGCGAGCCACTAGCTGAATTATATTCTACGCGTTCATGTCGTCCCTTCTCTTCGCCCCTTCTTCTTTTTCCTTTTACTCCCCTATACTTTGTGTTCTTTTTTCTTTCTTTTTTTTTCGCCCTTCGTCCACTCGTTTTTCCTCCGTCGTTTCCGCCGTCTTCCGACCGACCACTTCGCTTATTTCGCGACCGGATACTTAAACGTCGTTCGCACCGAATAATTACGCATGCTCGTTTCGAGTCCCCCCCCCCCCTCCCTCCTCTTGCCTTTTTCTTCTTGTGCTCTTATGACCCTACGGCATTCTATTTTTTTTTCTTTTACAACCACTTCATCGTTATCTTGTTCTTGTTTTTCTTCTTCTTCGTTGCTTACATCTCTTCTTGCTACCGCGGCTCTTACGAGGCTTCCTGCTCTGTCTCTCTCTTTTTTCTCAATCTTCTACACACTTTCTTCTGTCCCTTCTATTTTCTCCCGACTTCACTCTCCTTCTTCGCGTATCGGCCAATTGCGTGTGTCGTTAACGAGTGGCGGTACTTCGATAGAATCCGACCTGATCACGAGATAATACTGCTCGTAACTCATTTCCTGTCTCGCTCGCTCGTCCGCTTTGCTCATCGTCGTTGCGCGTCGTCTTCGATCTTCTCGTATCCGCGCGCGCGCGCAATTTCGTGGGGCCTAATTAGCGTGCTGTTGCGGGAATTTAAGTGACTGAGACGCTGCACGATGTAGATGTAACCACGAGGGCCCGTTCAGTGAAAGCGGACCGATTATGACTTCCAAGAATAATTGATGACGCACAAGGATATCCGGTGTCGATTTTGAGATTTCTTTGTAATCTTTATTGTGTGCCGTGTCATCAAGAAATTTGACTCGTTATAAAGTATCATTGTTCGGCAAAAAGAATCGAAATAAGTATTATAATAATTGAAATTTAAGAATAAGTTTCTATTTCAACCGAATGCATTATACGATATTATAATAATATAATATTACATTTACGCACTTACTCGTTTCATTAATTAAGTGTCAAGTAAGATACGAAGATATATAATCTAGTTTGCATATCAGAAAATGGCAAATGTTTTTTTTTAAATATGTGTACAAAAATACAAGAAAACATCTACATATTACATATTTATATTCGAATATTTATAAACGTCGTATATTATATGAGATATTGTATAAACATACTATGCAATATTATATTAAAATAGCTAGCGTGTTGTAATCGAAAGTTTCGTTCCACTGACGCGCGTGTTTAACCAAATACATTTTTTATGCGTAGAATACCTATTATGTCATTTATCGAGATTAAAATCGCACGATTTGGTAACGAATTAGTCAATAATCGAGAATCAAACGAGTTATTTTATCCATTTTCATGATGTTTTAAGATTGCGTTTTTTTATCGTATTTCTTGTTATAATCGATCAATTTAAAAGACAAATCTATTTGCATATATAAGCACATATACAGAATAAGTCTAAGGTGACATTAGAAGCTACTTATTGTACATCTTTAGGATTCACTATAGTCACCATTAAATAAATAGCTGTTTGTTTTAAAACGTTAGAACGTTAACTTACTGACAAAAAGGCAGATAGTGTAAATTATAAATTTTACACTATTTACTTCAATTTTTATAATTGATTTTATAACAAACATTTATAACATAAGTAAAATATCTTTTATTATCAACAAAAACACTTAACCAAAACATCTTTTTTTTTTTTAATGAAAAGTTGAAAACAATAATAAGTAGAATGTTAATATTAATGTTTTATGATTAATTCCGATATTGTAAATATCTGTTAGATACACTTTTCATCGAGAGAGTCCCTGAATTTATTTCAAACAAAAAAAAAATTCTATTAATTTTTATGTTTTGCTGCTCATAAATGCAGAATCTCGATAAAAAGATTACTCGGCTCATAACAGTGCTAGTGTTAAATAGCTATTTATCTGTAATGTTTTCTCAATAAGTAAGCGATTGACATAGTCGCGGCGGTTGCAGGCCAGAAAATCTATAATGCACGTAAAAAAGAAGGCACAACTTTGGCAGAAGGAAAGGCTAATGAAAAAAATTCTAGCATGTCATTCCAGCATAAGTTAATTTAATTATCTACTCTTTGTATATCACTTCCTGGCATTGCCTTTTTCCTGCATATTTTTTCTTTCACTAACACCTGTGTCCGTTTTGGGACAATACCAGTCGGTTTTTTTTTGTCTTCTTTTAAATTGTAACCTGAGATAAACCATTTTTCCTATTCTTTTTTTTTCACGGAAGCATATACGGTCACAAAAACCTTGAATTTTTTGTGGCGTGACGTGACAGTTTTAAAATTGCTCGAATTCTCGCAGCGACCATTTCTGCTCAGCCTCTTACCGGCGATTTTCCGTTTACTAATCTGCAGTTAGACTCGCGTACATTTCTACGCCATTGCTGTAACTGCGCGCCCAATGACGAATCATTAAAGCGATGCAGTTCAAAGAACAACCTTAATATAATGCCACGTGCCTGTTTGAAGTCGGTTTCCTACCACATTTCATTAGACATCGTTTTTGCGATCGCACGCGTAGACGCGACGCCTTGAGTATCAATGAACAATGTAGAATCGATGTCACGCCACGCTCGGCGCCCTTCGCACGTGTTTGCGCCGCAACACGTGGCGTGCGACGCTAACAGTGTAGCGAACGGAAGGAAGGAAATGTAATCGATTTGAAATTGATAAATGAGTATTAGTGGGCTATTTCATTTTTGTACATAATGCAAGGACACCGAAATGAGAGTTATTAATATTGCATAACATTATTCTATGTTTTACAATTTAAGTGTAATCTATTTCCAACATTAATCTTATAATTTAACAATTTTTAACCATGAAAAAAGAGTTTTGGTATCTTAAAGTTCTTAATGTCTTTTAGCTTGAAAATTTATATATAAGTCCTCTCTTTCTCTTTTTCTTATAACCTGTGACCTTATTTTTAATAACAGATTTTCTGATGAATATTCTTTCTTATAAAAAATATTGACAAAGTGCCATTAGTTATAAGCGATTAAAGTTTTGCGCTGATTAAATTTTATGACGAAAAATAAGTAATAGAATTATATTCATTAGTGATATTTAAATAGATTTTAATAGAATTGTAATTTAAATGTTAGAAAAATATATGACATTGAAACTTAGAAAATTGGAATAAATAACAATCTCTCTGGACATTTTCGGAAAAATTTATATCAAATTTCAATCAAATTGATATCAATGGTTGGAGAATCTGTATTAAAATTAAAATTATGATCATGTGGTATAAAATTATAATCATGAGAAAGAGAGAGAGAGAGAGAGAGAGAGAGAGAGAGAGAGAGAGAGAGAGAGAGAGAGAGAGAGAGAGAGAGAGAGAGTAGTAGTAGTAGTAGTAGTAGTATATATATATATATATA